CAGGCTTCGGGACTTAGCTGCCGTAATGATGTCAGCAGCGCAGGTTAGCAGATGGCGGCCGCAGCAATGAGACCTGACATGTTCTAATGACTCCCTCCTTCCCACTCTCGCCAGCCGAGCCGATGGAGGGGCAGGGGTTTCCTTGAGGCATTTTAGGAGGGGGCCAAGGGAAATCGGGGGGCCCCCAGGTGCCGATGAAGCCTGTGACCTTTGCTGCTATAATATCAGTGTTTCACAAGCAGGGCGGTTCGGGAGCCCACTTGCAGCCCATCAAAAATTGATTTAATTGCAATTTTTCCTCCAATTAGGAGCAGTGGAGCCTGACTAATTGGAGTAATAGAGAGTAATAAGGCTCAGATAAAAAGCCTTCCTCGGCGGCCTTTGTATCTCGTGTCAGTGCCTGTCAGAGGTCAGAGAGCTTGCATATTCTATTAGGCAGCCCGGCCTTCATTTGTACAAATTAGTTTACCCAACAGTAATTAAAATGCCAATGCGGGTTGAAGAGAACTGAATACACTTGATGGGCATGTTGGTGAATGATGTGACAGCTCTGGTGGCCTCCCTTGCCAAAGTGTGTCAGCCCTGGCTCGGAGGCGGCTGGGGCCTGGGCCAGCTGGGTGGCTCTGGGCCAGCCGCGGGGCACAGCTGCTAAGCACGCCACTTCTGCTGCCTCCTCAGGGCCACTCGGTCTCTCCTTTCTTCTTCCAGGTGGAGCCATTTGTTCAGTTGTCCATTTGTTCATTCAACGAGAGCTTCCAGTGTGTGTCAGGCATTGTGCGAGGTGCTGGGGAGAGAACATGCTGGGCAAGGGTAGGTTCAAATTCCAGCCCTACTAGCTGCCCCTGTGGGAGCCAGAGCAGGGTGCATTTCCTCCCCGGGCCTCAGTTTTCTCATCTGTAAAATAGGTAAAGTGGTACCGGTGCAGGGTTACAATGATTAGATGGGATGATGTTTGTGAAACCCTTCCTCAGAACCTGGCACCTAGTAAGTATTCAATAAATGACTAATGTAATTACGAGGGCCTGGATGGAGGCAGAGGCAACAAGAATGTATCTTCTTTTCACTCTGCTCATGCCCAAATAATTTCCCTTCCTCCCTTTCTCCTCTCTTCTTTTCCATATTTTCTATTCCTCAACTTGAGTACCAGCATCCCTAAATCTCCTGGTGTCTCTCTCTGATGTGAGGGCTCCCATGTCTGCTTCTTGGGCCTGATGATGATCTCTGTGATGCCAGGTTTGCTTGAGCTTGGACCGGGGAGCCAGGAACGTAGGCTGGGAATCTGGACAGGGTCTGGGGCCAGATGAGAAGTTGGAGAAGGCTAGCTTCTAATAAGGGCTTTCTCATCCCAGAAGAGTAGAGTTGATAGAGTCAGAATGACTTTTAGACCCGCCAGCTGAGAGCGTGCATGCGTACTTGTGCACAAGTGTGTGTGTGATGTGAATTTGTAGGTACTGTTGGCACTTCTCATCTGTTATCTGGTTGTGGTGCTCATGAGGGATTCTACTGCCCACCAACGATGTATGACTGTGTCATGTGTCATTCAGTCCGGTGATTTGGGAATTATTTCTTTAAGAAGCAGCGGGACCCCCTTCATAGCCCACATGCCTAGCTTCCCCAGCCTTGTTGGCTGTGAACTTGGAAGGCCCTTGCTGTCCAGTCCTACAGAACTGTACTGAGTACCTCTTTGAGGCCCGGCACCGGCTGGGCACTGGAGTTTACAGGAGTCCCCAGATGGCCCATGATCTCAAAGGGAAGATGGGGAAATAACCCCCCCAAATACCAGTTGTCCCCTGAGGGCAAGATAAAGCATGGTAGGGACCCAGAGGAAGGGTGGTCACATCACCTGAGAGCTAGCAGCTTCTGCCTCGGCCAGTTCACGGGCTTGCTGTCCCCATCCCTAGGATCCCTAGAGAAAGAGAGGGACCAAGGGTGAAAGCCATTTGCATTTTCTCTTCTTTCTGGGGAGAGCTGACTTTTTCAGTAACTGCAGCCTCTAAGTTGAGATTGAAACAAAGACCTTTTAATGGGTCAGACTCTGAGTTGTCCCTTCGGAGGTGCCACCGGGGGCTGGTGCATGTGTTCGCTGAGGGCCTCTCTGAGCATTCAATGAGAACCTCTGGCCCAAGTGGCGCAGGGCCTGGCGCTGTGAAGGGTGGGGAGATCTGGTGCAGGATGACCGGGGTGGGGGTGGGGGCTGGCGCATGTGGAAGCGTGGTGGCGTGGTGGCAGCTGAGCTCGTGGGGGGGGGGGCGGAGGCTTCCTGAGATGTGCACACCCCCACCCCACCAGCCTCCACTTGGAGCATTTTATCTGGTGGGGCTCCTGGGAGGCGGGCAAGTGTGCAGAGGGAGTTCGTGAAAATTCTCACAAGTTTGGCCATCACTTCATTTCCCTTTCTGTGCAGTGGGGATAATTGCTTCTATCGGGAACTGACTGTGTCATGTGAAGCATCCTCTGGTGTCTTGGGACAGCGAGTTCCGTCTCCTCCCACCCCTGCACCAGGTGTCTCCTGCATTTGGGCACATCGTTTAATCTTCTGGCCTTGAATGTGACTGGTCTGTGGCTCTTGCCTTCTCTTCCTGAAGAGAGCTGGGGGGTGAGGTGGGGAGTAAGCCTGGCCACATGTAGGGAGGAATAGTGCGAGGTGTGTGGTGGTGCTGTGTCCACAGCCAGCTCCGCCCCTCCGAGGCCTGGCGGTCCCCATGGTCTGGGCGTGCGTCCTGGTGCGTGTGCCCGGCAGGACCCGGCTCCAAAGCTGCTTGATCGTTGCTTACAGGGTTTGTAGTGAGTGCTACATTTGGTTACGCTCTTAGGGCCCCACACGTGCCGGGCGGGGGGGGGTGGTCTCTCTCCTTCCCCCTCCTCCTCCCTGCACTGCACAGTTGGGCAAGGGAAGATGGAAGGAAAGGCTTATGGGTATCAGGCAATCCTGAAAGGCCTTCGTGGGGTGTGAAGGTGAGAGGCAGTCCCCCGGTGGGAGACAGACCCGGCCGGTGACAGGGGGCGGGGGTGGAGGACAGGAGTCCCAGGAGGAGGTGTTGGCAGCTCCACCCCAGCCTTCTGGTTGCTGCCGGGAACGGCAGGTTCAGGTCCAGGTGCCTCCTTCTTCCCCACTCCCTCTCGACTTCTCTGGTCACTGAGTCAGACTTGCGGCCAATCCGAGGCCTGCCATGGGCCCCCTCGGAGATGCCTGTGTCTGTGCTGGTGCGCCTCACCTGGCCTGCGCCCCTCAAAAGTCTGAAGAGCCCAGGGGCGCCTGGGTGGCTTAGTCGGTTAAGCGTCCGACTTTCGCTTAGGTCATGATCTCGCGGTTCGTGGGTTCGAGCCCCGCGTCGGGCTCTGTGCTGACTGCCAGCTCAGAGCCTGGAGCCTGTTCCAGATTCTGTTGTCTCCCTCTCTCTCTGACCCTCCCCTGCTCACGCTGTCTCTCTCTCTCTCTCTCCTAGAAATAAATAAAAATATTAAAAAAAAAAAAAAGTCTGAAGAGCCCAATTGGCCGCTTGAATGCTTTCCAAGTGGCTATTACGTTTCCAACCCAAGGTAATTGGCTTTACCAGTTATCAATGGATTACCCTCGAGAGACAAATGCTGAGGGGAAGGAGGCGAGGACGGCACCTCCTGGCTTTGTAGTTCGGGGCTTCGGTGTCCAGTGGCTGCTTTCCAGGCTGGAGTCACTTGGGGGGTGATGGAGTGGCTGTGTTGGCACACCATTCTGGGTGAAGGTTGCTAGCACTCCTGGGTCTAGAGGCTGCTGGGATGCTGGAGCGTGTCCCTAGAGGAGCTCTGGGCCTGAGGCATGGAAGCCCCAGGGCGGCTCATGTGCCCTTTTTATCAGCCAGGAGTCAAAAAGCAAATACCCACGATGCTGTTTTTATTGCAAATCTCTGGGTTGGCTAGTGCCCACCCCCACATCTTCCCCACTGGCAACCGGCAGGCCGCCTCCCCCCAGCTGAAGCCACTGGCTTCCTCAGAGCCCTCTCTACAGAAACCTGTCCCCTCGTTGACCTGCTTGGGACCAGAGACAGGTGCTGGGCAGGGCCAGGGAGGATGGGCAGCTGCCCCTCACTGCTAAGGTGTCATTAATCTGACTGGCACCCCCTCCCCACCCCGAGCTCTTGACACGTAGGGATGCGGCCCTTCCCTGCTCCGGGGCTCCTGAGTGAGTGACACAGCCGTTTTCGACTCTTGCTCATGGTTAGGATTTTCGGCCAGGCTTCCTGCGGACTTCCTCCCTCACCCCCACCAGCAAGTCCCCAACAACGGTGGGGCCTGGCACGTTCCGGTCCTGGTGCTCCGGCCAGCCTGGCTCACCATGCAGGGCCTGCCCATGGCCTCGGGCCTCCACCCAAAATGAAAGTCTGCAGATGGCACACATTGAACTTTCTAGGGGGTTAAGTGACCCTTTGGGAAACAGGGTGTGTCCTTGTCCTCTGGCCTGCCTGCCGCCGTCCCGCCCCGCGGCAGCCCCAGCAGCCTAGGCCCTCACCCTGTCCCAGCACATCACCCATCTCGTCCTCTCCCGGGTTACTCGCTTTCAATAGTTCCTTCCGTTCAGTTTGGTGCCATTGGACTTGCCCTGCTTGTACATTACCAGGTGCCCCCAGCTCTCAAAACCATCGGCAGTGCCCCCACCGCCCTTGCCTCTGACCAGGGCATCACCTTCCAGCGTCCAACAGCCTGTTCCCAGGAGCAGGCCCGGCAAGTGTGCGCTCTCCTGGCCTGAGGGCTGCGCATCCGGAGACGTGCTGTTCTGGTGGCCAGAGACCACGAGACCCTCCAGAGCAGCGAGCTCGGCCGTCCTGAAACCTGTGGGGCCTGGGAGGCCGTAGCCCTCCGCGCTCTTCCCATCGTCCCCTCTGCTGGCCCCGCGGCCATCTCTCTCTCATCCTGCCTCCACTCCGTGATCCCTGGGGAATGAGCACAGCACTCCAGTTGTGTAGCCCCTTCCGCCACAAGTTCTGACAAGCCAGCCCTGACTCTGCTCTCCTTTTGTTTGGCAGCTCTTTTGTGACAGGGACGGCTTGTTGTGGGCACTTCTCACCCCTAAGAATCTGGGACCTCAACAGGTAAGAGATTCCTGAGCCACTGTGGCTTCGCATGGGGGTGGGGCTTGGACAGCCAGGGAGGCTGTGCAGAGAGCTGGCTGGGCCAGCTCCGTGGGCCGTCGTGTATTCCGGGGGGACTGGGAAGGACCCGGTGGCCCACAACACCCGGCGGCCTCCAGGCGCGTTCTCTCCTGGCATCGTTCGAGTTAGCCCAAGGAGGCTGTTGGAAATAATTTATGATAGGTCCGTAATTTCACTCAGAAATCAGGCTAACAACAATTTGGATTTATGACACTTTTCCTCTGAGGAGTGCCTGATTATGTGGCTACATAAAATCCCGTCAATCCTTGGAGATGATTTTTCTAAAATAAAGGACTTGGGGAAGTGGCCTGCAGAGCCACAGAAAGAATTACACAGAACAGTTAAAATACATCCAGGTTTTATTCACAATTCTCTGCCTTGGTAAGCTTGACACATTCCCATCGGATTATCTACCATTTGTTGGATATTTTTAAGCCTTTTATTTTGAAATATAGATTCATAGTAAGTTCCAAACATAGGGCAGCAAGGTGCCTGTGTTACATTAGATAATATAATAAATTTGATGATATCTATTATTTAGAAATAATATTTTTATTCATATATACTTATTCTATTCTATTCTCTTATATATCAGAACCAGGAAATTGACACTGGTATAACACACAGACCTTTATTCAGATTGCATTCATTTCTGTGCATGTGTGTGTCTGCGTGTGCCTGCGTGTGTGTAGTTATCTGCAATTTTACCCCATGCGTAGGTTCCTATAACCACTACAACAGGATACAGAACTGGCAGACCCCTCGCCTGTGCATGTACAGCTGCGCCATCTTGCTCCCATCCCCTCCTAACCCCCCTCGTCCCTAACTTCTGGCAACCACTTACATGCTCTCTGCCTCTGCACTTCCATCAGCTTGAAAGTCTTATGTGAGTGAAATACCTTTTGAGATTTGTCTCCCCGACCCCCTCCCCCGCCCTGCCACCTGCAACCCAGCATAATTCTTATGAGAGCCACAGCACTTTGTCTGTATCAATAGGGCTTTACTTTTTATCGCTCGGTAGTATTCCCGGGTGTGGACGCCCCAGAGTTCTCTCCTGTTGAACAGCATTCACCCACTGAAGGACATTAGGGTTATTTTCAATTTTTTGACTACTGCAAATTAAGCTGTCATGAACACTTGTGTATAAGCTTTTGTGTGGAGATACATTTTCATTTCTCTGGAATAAATGCCCCAGAGTCCAAGAGCCAGGTCATTTGGTAAGTGTATACTTAAGTTTTTGCCTGCCAAACTATTGTGAATATCTTTACCGTTTTATAATCCAGCTCCAGGGTACGAGAGAGGTAGTTTCTTTCCATCCTCAACAGCATTTAGAATTGCCGCTCTTTCTTATCTTAGCTACCCTAAGAAGTGTGGTATCTCGTGGCTTTAATTTGAATTTCCTTAACAGCTAATGACATCTTTTCGTGTGTGTATTTGCCTTCCGGGTGTTCTCTTTGGTGGAATCTCTGCTCACGTCTTCTGGCCATTTTCTAACTGAATAGTTTGCTTTTTCACTGGTGAGTTTTGGGAGTTCTTTATATATTCCAGATATTAATCCTTTGTCAGATCTGTGATTTGCCTCTATCTTTGAGTCTGGAGCTTGTCTTTTTATCCTCTTAAGAGGATAAAAAACTGAAGTTTTAGATTTTGGTGGTGTCCAAATTATTTTTTTCTTTTGTTGATTATGCTCGTGGGGTCAAGGCTAAGATGTCTGCACTTGGCCCCACGTCCCGGGCTCTGGTTCAGCGCCGTGATTTACAGCAGCAGCGAGGCTATGCTGTTCTTGTCTGTCTCTTGCCTCCGCGGCTCTTGCGTGTCGGCTTTCCTGTCCGTATCCCCATGAAAGTGGTACCCATCTCTTTTTTGTTCCCCTGAAAAATCCATTGTACTGTCAGTCTTTCCAAAAGATTTTTGGAACTTGCAAGAAGCAAGTTGAACCTTGCCTCTGAAGACAGTAAGTATCTGAAAACTTTGGTCCTGTTTCTCCAGCGTCTTCTCTTTATCAGGCCAAAAGGCCCTTCTGCTGTTGCTCATAAACAGTGCTGTTAGGGTGCTTTTGGCTAGAAGTCCTGGGGGCCCACTTCAAAGTGGCTCCAACGAGAAAGAGATTATTGTTATCGTAAGTGACAAGGAGTCCCCAGGAGTTGGAAGGTTCGTCGGGTCCAGGACGGACGGTGTGGTAGCTCAGTGAGAGCCGGAGGGCCCGTGCTCTCAGCTTTCTGCTCTGCTGCCTCAGTCAGCCTGGGTTTTGCCCGTATCCTCAGGCTTGTTCACAAAAGCTCTACCAGCTCGTAAGGCAATACCCAAAGGGAAAAAGGAAGGAAGAGGACATGTCCCTGCCTGGGTCTCTTTAAGATGGGGAATCCTTTTCTAGGAGCCCCCAGGCAGACTCCTCACGTTTAGTGAGCTCAGAGTGTGTTCCATTACTCGCCCTGAACCCAACTATGGCAAGGGAGATGGAATGACCAGTCAAGATTGGCCTGGAGCCGAGGAAGAGCCCAGCTTCCCCACAGGCTTACTGGCAGTGGGGGATGGGAGGGGTGGGCACGGGATCAGATTTTGGTCAGCAAGGAAGTAAGGGAGGAACAGCTGGGTGGGTGACCCTGTGGTGTTGGTCTCACAATCGTTTTAGGACTGTTCTCACCTGAAAGCTTGTTGAATTTCTCTGGTTGGATCCCTCTTGAAACGGGGATGCTCATAACTGAGTACTGAACACACCGGGATGGGATGATGAGTGGCAGGTGCTATCCCCTCCTTATTCTAGATCTTCGGCTTTTGTTAATGTAGCCAATGGTCACATCATACTGTTGCCAGCACAGCTCAGCTGAAACTTCCTAGGGATCCTTTGTTCCGCGGCCCCTGGGACGCCAGAGCGCCCGCAGTCTGTGACTGTTGTCCTCACGCTTGTGCCACCGCGCCCGTGCCACCGGCAGGCTTCGTGCTCCCGCGTGGGGCCGAGGCAGAGTGTGACGGGGAGGCTGGGAGGAGCTGCAGATGGCGCACAGGCCGCGTGGTTGGACAGACTGGGGTTCTAGAGCTACCCTTGCCGCTTCTTAGCTCTGTGATATGGGGACGGGGGCGGGGAGTGGTGCTCTGGGCCTCAGTTTCCACATTTGTAAATGAGATTTAATTATCTTTACTTAACAGAGCTAGTATGAAAATGATTATTTTGTACAGGTTCCCATACAGCGCCTGCCTCCTTCCCTTTCTTCTTCCTTCCCTGCAGCCCCTCCCACAGTAGTACCTTAGAGTTTGTAGATGCTCTGCTTTTGAACCCTCTGGATACCTGTGGCCTTGTGGCCACTAGAGGTGGAGTGGCCCTGCTGACCGCCTGGTCTAGAGAAGGCCCATGACAGTAAGGCCGCAGGTCACAAGACAGGTGTTTCTGCTGCAAGGTGGTTTTAGTCCTGTAGCCGGACCTTGTGCCCGGCAACCTCGCTGGCCTGTACCCCGGATGGTGAACGAGCTGGGGGATGGGGGAGATGGACCATCATAGCCCAGCTTTGTCTCAGAGGCTGAGTAACCTCTGAGGCCTCTTCTGCCTGGTTTCCTCGGTGGGGCTATTCCTGGGCACAGATTCATGGTGGGGACGTAGTTAGAAGCCACCAACCAACTCCTGGGAGGGCACTCTCTTACGGAATCCCTAGTCGTCACTAACCCCGAACGCTGGGTCTTTACAGAGCCCAGGAGAAAGCCCAGGGGTAACGGGCACAGCACAGCTACAGCCGGGGTTCTGAGCGGAGCCAGACAAGATACCACCCCTGCACCTTCCGGACAGCCCGTAGCAGGGCTGCCCTGGGCATCGTGTGGCTTTGCCTTCTCTCTGGCCCTCAGCCGCCTCTCCTCACCACTGAGAGGAGCCAGGCCTCGTTTCCATAGCCCTCCTGCTCCCAGGGGAGCCTGGAGGACTGGCTGGTGCAGGGCTCGAAGGAAAGATGCCCCGGTGGAGGCATCTGCTTTTGGTGGGAGGAAGTGGATGCACAGGGTGACTGTCTGTAGCCGTCTTTCCCAGAGAAGCCCAAGCAGATAATAAAGCCATGTAGAAAATAGGATTAAGGTAATGAACAGGCAGGACAGAGTTTGATCTTTCAATAATGCCAAAGCCTGACTGACAGGCCAATCTGGAAGGTGGGGCAGCACCGCCCGCAGGACTAGGTGGCGGGGCGCTGTGCGGGGCTGGGGGCATGCTTTGCTTTTAACCTGTCACCACTGAAACCTGAGGAGCGCCGGGATTTTCTCTTTTATGTGTATGCTGTGACTTGGGCGGGGGAAGGAGTGCTCCGAGCATCCCCCCTCTGGGGCCGCCCTCAGGATGATGGCGGGGCTGGGACACAGCTGGGTGGTGGAGGTGCCCTGCTCGGCACGTCTGCCTCCTGTTGCCTCTCAGGTACCTGTTCTCTGGGAGCTCAGGCTACTTCCCTCAGTGCCTGGGGACCCTTCAAAGTTACCACGGCTCCCTCCGCCGTTCCTTCCATCAAGACCCCTCTGGACTCTGTTCTCCCTACGAGTTAGGGAGGGGGAGGTGCTGGCTGGGGCACACGGGTTCAAGGGCAGCCATGGCATACAGCCGTTACCTAGATGGCAAGGAGCTTGGCCATCCCTCTTTTCCTTTCTTCCTTTTCTACCTTTCTTTCTCCTGGAGTTGGGACCATGGGCTGGGCCCAAGGACAGGGAATTTCTAACCTAACGAGGCAGAGAGAAAGACCGAGTCCTTGACTCAACCTGGAGGTGCCAGAGTGTTCCTGCTTCCAAGGGTAGATGGTCTTCGGGCCCAGGTGCGGGCCCCAGGGGCTCCTTCTCGACAGAGCCAATCCCTGAAGTCTCCCTCACTGGCCCCATGATCCCATCAAGGCCTGAGAAACTAGGCCACAGCCGTCCTGTTTCTGAGCCTGGTGCTCTGTGCGCGCGTTCGAGCAGGAACCTCGGCTAGGCCCCTGGGCAGGTGGCTGTGCGGGGCGTACCTCACAGCTGCTGAAAGGCCCGGGAGGCCTGCCTGCCCTGCCATCCTATGCACTCCCCCTCCCAGGCGTGACCTTGCTATGGGCTACACATTTTGCCCGCGGCATTTGAACTGGGTTTAGCATTGGTGTGCAGGTGGGCACCAGGCTGGAGAGGCCTGTGATCCCAGACCGGGATGTATCGTAGTGGGTCCAGCCATAGCCCCAAGCCAGGCTCGGGACCACTGGGAAGGGAAGGGGACAGGGGTGGCCTCTGGTGACCTGGCTACTCCTAGGGCACTGAGGGTTCGAGTCCTCAGCTAGGCACCGTGCTACCCTGTACGTGTGTGGCTGTGTGTATGTCCCTGCGCACATCCCCTCATCTCTCCTGCTGGCCAGAGTCGTCCTTGGTTCCCCATCACTCCTCCATTTCCATCCTCAAGCCCCTGAGTGGCCTCTCTCTCACCAGAGGTGGGGCAGATGGGCCTCTCCCACACTCTGACGGGTGCCCTCGATTTTCCCCTGAGCCTTTGCTCTGGCTGTCCCAGTGCCCGGATTACTCTCTCTCTGTCCCGCTTACTCTTCCGTGTAGATAGCACCTCTGCCACGAAGCCCTCCCTGATCCTAGCTCCTGTGGCTGGAGTTAGGAACCCTTCGAGCACTCATTGGGCCACCTTGTCAGTCACCACGTGCCAGGAACTTCTCTCGGGACCCCAGGATGAGCCCAGAGATGCACATCAGAGCATCTAGTGGCATTTATACCGGGGAGGGGGCCTGGCCGCAGCCTTCTCTAGCCGTCTGCAGAAGGACCTGGTGTCCTGAGCACAGACTGGGCCACTCTGAGGGCACCGGTTGTGCCCATCCGGCCCAGGTGTGGCTTTGTCTCTGCCCCTGCCTCCACCTCTACTCCCGGGGGCGCGGGGGGGACGGCCCTCGGTCAGGGTGATTACGGGAACTGCCCTCTTTAAAGTACCTGCCTTCTCCTTTGAAAGTATTACTGACAGATTTTTTCATTTTCTTTTTTCTTTACCTCTTTAAGGAACCCTGTAATTTCTTTCTTTTCTTTCTCCCCCCTTTCCTTTTTCTTTCTTGTCCCCTCTGTCCCCCTGAACTCTTTGAAATTGGCTCTCTGCCTGCTGACACCAAACTGATACTTTGCGTTTCACTTCTCCTTATCCCTTTATGGCAACAGATGTTGAAATTTTGTATCCTTTTATCTGCCCGGCTGCCCCTTCCTGTAATTACGGTCCCCTTGTTAGCAGTACAAAGTAGGCTGCCCAGCCGCCTGGCCTTTGAGCCATTGTGTCTGAACACGTGTGCGCAGGCGGGCGCTGGGGGCTGTGCACGCGCACACACATGCATGCGCACGGCCGCGTGCTTCCCTCTCACCTGATGGGGCTGAGGCAGGTGAAGTGTCCGTGGGCTTCTCCCGGTCTCCTCCGCTCTGGTTACCCTTGGGACCTATGTGCCTCCTTGATTCCCCCCCACCCCTCTTCCCGGAGCTCAGGCCAGGGAGCAGGGTGCACCCAAAGGCCACCGTGGTCTGGAAGCCAGATCTTGGGCAACCCAGCGTGCCTGCAGGGTGAAAACACACGCCAGGTGCTCTGGCTCTGACCCGGCCCTTCACCTGGGCTGCCACCCTGCTCCTATCACTCACTGAGGGGTCATTCATGCCACAGGCTGAAACGTTCTCTTATCTGTCCTCTTATAAAACTTCGATTTCTCCTCTGGAAATGACCCAGTCACCCCTTGTACTGGTAGCTGGATACGTGACAGACTTCCTTACTGGGTGCAAAATTCCTTGAGGACAGGGATCGTTCCTTCAGACTGGGATCTGACATGTCCCTGTAGTTCCTGCTTAGCACAATGCCTTGTATACAGAAGGAGCTCATTAAATGGTTGTTACTCAAAAAAAGGGAGAGAGGGGTGAGGGGGAAGGAGGAAGAACCTCCCATTCTGAGTGGCCGCGTTTGGCCCAGGTTATACATTCAGGCCCTCTGCCCCCGCAGGAACAGAGATGTGGGAAGGCGAACTGTCACCTTTCCCTCCCCTGAACACTGCTGTTGCATTTTGGGCCCACACACATAGGCCAGATGTGGGAACGAGAACCCCTAGGATCTCCAGGGAACATCCCTAGGCACCCGGTGTGCTGACGGTGGCTGTAAAATGGTGCAGGGGCCACATGCATTCTTAGATGTAGGCTGGGGGTGGTGGGACAGGGATGTGGCTTCTCCTGTCTCAGGGCCCTTCAGCACAGGCAGGGAGGGAGGCAAGTGGAGGTCAGGATGAGAGGACTCTGGCTCAGCAGGGCCCAGACCAGGGGCGGCAGAGGCTCTCCCAGCTGGCATATCGGGATCTTCAGGGTTAGCACCTGCCTCCAGTGAGCTGTCCTTACAAAGATGGCGATGGAGGGGCCAGGGTCTTCTTAAATCTCCTTCTGTCAGGGAGCTCCTCCCTCGCTTCCTCTTTCCTCTAGCTAGAACTGCTGTGCAGCACGGTGTGCTGGGCCTGGGAGCCCTGGTTCCCTCACCCAATCACCGCCTCCAAGGGTCCCTGGGAGGGGGCCACCCTCTGCTTGTTCTTCCTGCCCAGGCACTTGGCGGGGGGGAGGGGAGGCTCCCAGGCCTGTGCTGCACATAGCCTGGCCTCGGGGCCATGCCTCCTTCCAGCTGCCCGCCCCGGGCCTGCCCTCCTTTTTAGGCTCACAGGGGTGGCCCCATCTGTCTTTATCTCTCCCTGGGTGGAGAGAGAATCGCTGGAGTCAGGCTCCGGGGAGGCTGGGGTGTGGAGGCTCCCCCGCGCCCCACCCCCCCCAGCCCTTGGAGGCTCCTGGAGGCCCAGGCTTTGTGCGCAGGAGTTGGAAGGGAATGGACTTTTTGTCTGGCCCTCTGGAGTGACAGAGCTGGCCCTCGCTCCTGTCGTGGCCCAGGGCTCTGAGGGGCAGTCCTGTTCCCACACAAGTTGTGCGATAGCCAGGGCTCTGTGTCCCCCTCCCACCCCCCACAGTGAGAGGCCGAGAAGCATTCTTGACATTCTTTCCAGAGAAAAGGGGTGAAACGTCTGAATTTGGGGGTCACTATGTTATACAAATTGCAATCTAATCGTTTTTACAAGAACACACTTGCAGTAAGAAAAGGAGCCCAAGAGGAGGGGCTGAGGAGATAGACAGCTTGTTTTGTCCCCCTTTCCCCCAAAGTTTGGGGCTATTGTCGGGCTGATCTTGCTCCCTTCACCAGCACTGTTGAGCTAGAGTTTCCTAGTTAAATTGGTCTTGGGGTGGGGGCCACGAAGGGCCCTCGGTGCCATTTCTGTTTGTTTTCCTGAATCAAAGCCCCAGCAGGGCTCCTATGGCACTGCTGGGCCGCTATTTGAAGAGACGGGCCATTTCCCAGAGCCTGGGGTGTCAGTTTATGCTCTGAACTTAACCTCACGGGCACGGCACAACAGAGTCTTGAGGGTCTCAGGCCCAGGGGCAAAAGAAATTGTATCTTTTTATTGGTCCATTTAAAGTGTGTGTGGCCGTTTCAGAGAACCAGAGAACAGTGGTGCAGCAACTCTCCTGTCCCCGGCCAGGCTGGACTGGCGGACTAGGGCTTTCTAGACTCTTCCCGGCCTCCGGCGCTCCTGCTGGGCCTCGCGTCTCCCCGAGCAAGCAGGGTTCTGTGTTTATCGCAGACACGGGCATGACACTTTCCAGTGGTGGCTTGGATGCTGGGGCAGGGGCCCAGGGTAGCAATCCGAAGTGGGTATTGCCTTGATGTTGCTGGTCCTGATAGCACTGACCCTGCCCAGCCCAGGGGTGCCCACCTTTCTTTCCTTCAAGACCCTGGGACCAGGGGTAGGCAGGTAGAGCCATGCTGGGCTTCACACCCCCAGCCCCCACTGCCTTTCATCTTCTGTTTCAACCAAACATGAAATTACTTCTACAGATTAAAGGGGAGAGCTCCTCAGTCATTCCTGAAGGCCTCACTAATGGAAGGGGCAGGGCCCCCAAATCTGGAAGGAGGGAGAATTGTGGAGCAAAACAGCCCCCATCCGGCGTGTACAAATGTCCAGAAGTACCTGCAAGAGAGTGGGGGTGGGGGGTGGGCTGAGCCTTCTCAAGGCTCTGGCCTGCCCAGGGTGGGTGAATCCTTGGCTGGTGGCCCATCTGGGAAGGCAGGCCCTTCCCAGGAGCCAAGGTCCATGATCTGTAGGAGACTGTGATTTTTGGGCAGTGGGTGATCCCGCAGGGCCCCCACCACAGAGGCTGATCTTCTACTCTGACGGTAAGAGGAACACCTCCCCGAGGAGGCTGGGGGCCAGAGTGCCGACTTAGGGCCTGGCCCCTCACTGACTGCAAAAGTGCCCTTTGCTGGTGGTCGGCTTACTGCCCAAGGCTCAAGGGGAAAGGCAGACCGGCCAGAAAGGAACCCCCAGCCCCCTCCTTTATTTGTCCAGCCTCTGGGGAAAATGGTGGCTCAACTGAGAAGGGAGGTTGAGGGTCAGAGTCCACGTGAGCCGAAAGGACTGGAGCTGCAGTCTGCTTTCACACATGTGGCTGACAGCGTCTGCTTGTGAGCACTGCTTGTGAGACCACAAGGTCCTCCCTCCCCCCACCAGGGCCTCTTACCTGGGTGTCCCTGGGAAGTGTTCATGGCCTTGTTTCTCCTGTCATGCATGCCAGGGAGCCTAGCATCTCTTGGGGGGAACTGAGGGATCAGGCCTGGAGGGTGCCCTTCTTCTTCATTCCCGTCATTCGGCAGAAACTCCTTCTACTCGTTCCCTAGCCACAGGGATTAGCGGGTGCACTTGATGTTGAGGGGTAGTTGCTAGGGCCAGAAGGCCCCCCTACGTGGTTGCTAGGGGTCTGGCATCAGGGCGAGGGGTCTGCCCACTGCCGCGGTCACGGAGGGAATTACACAGTCACAAAGAAATTGTTCTTCTCAGTAATCTGCTCTCGGCCACCGGGAGGGGCGAGGGTGGGGGAGCAGGCTGGAGCCCAGCAGGCTGGGGGCTGTGATCACACAGGCGTGCTAGCCCCGGGCTGGGGGCCAGCCGGTCCAGGAACACCAGGGACCAGCCCGCTAAGCTGCTTTCTCAGCGATTTCTCTCCCCAGACACAAAGGTGTTTACTTGTTTTAACATCTCCTGGGACTCCCCTTCTCCCTTTGTGTGGTCTTTATCCCCAATGAGGTTTGAGCCCCAGATTACAGGCAGGAATTAAGGCATTGGACTCAGGCAGCTCAAAACTGCATGACCTGCAGGATCAAGAAGTATAAAGTAACCAAGTGTGTGTGTGTGTGTGCGCGCGCATGCATGCACGCGCACGCACACGGGAGGGGACTCATTCTTCCTCCAGAAGAGCGGCAGTAAGTAGGTGTGATGCAGGGGCTGCAGGGCTGAGGCCTTCGGCTGGGGGAGGGTCAGGCACGGGGGTCGGGGGGGGGGGGAGGAGAGACAGTGGGCATCCTGGGCATTTCCTCCCTGGGTCCTTTACAAAGGGAGCCTGATTTTAGCTCCCGAAGGAGAGCCGCATCTCCTCAGGGACTGAGGTGTGGGGGCCAGGGTGGGATGGCTGCTCATCCTCTTCCCCTCTGCTCTCTCCCCAGGGGGCAGCTCATGATGCACCTGGGCAGTGACTTCCCCCCAGGAGCTGGGGTGTTGGATGTCATGTATGAATCCCCTTCCACACTCCTGTCCTGTGGCTATGACACCTACGTTCGCTACTGGGACCTCCGAGCCAGCGCGCGGTGAGTGTCCCAGCTGGCCCCCCTCCTAGCCCCCCAGGAGAAGGTACAGGCGGGGGCCGTAGGAGCGGCCCAGCTCAGGCTCCCAGCTCGGTGGCCCGGCCTCAGGGCCTGGGAGACTATCACCTCCAGGCCGTGATTAAGAGCCTGGGGGCCATCAGCGTGCTCCCTGCCGCCGAAGTCCTGGGATGTGTGGCCAGCATGGGAAGCACAAATGAGGACATAATCTGGCCTGGGGCGCAGGCACTGGTGAGAAAGAGACCCGTACAGAGGCGGCTTCCCCCCCACTTAAATCTTTAAAAAACAAAAGTTTGTTCAGCTGCTAAGACCCTTGGGGAAGCTGGGGTGGAGGGCACCCTGTGCTTCCCTCTGACTGCCTCTTCCTGCTCTGACTGCCTCTTCCTGGACAGGAAGTGCGTCATGGAGTGGGAGGAGCCCCATGACAGCACCCTGTACTGCCTGCAGACGGATGGGAACCACCTGCTGGCTACCGGTTCCTCCTACTATGGTGTCGTGCGGCTGTGGGACCGGCGCCAGCGGGCCTGCCTACACGTAAGAGCCCTGCCCACCGCTGGTTCCGGGATGCCAGGACTCCTCATTAGGGGCTCTTACCACTCCTGTACCTTCCCTCCCTGCAGGCCTTCCCCCTGACCTCGACCCCGCTCAGCAGTCCCGTGTACTGCCTGCGCTTCACCACCAAGCATCTCTATGCGGCGCTGTCTTACAACCTCCACGTCCTGGACTTTCAAAACCCGTGACAGGGCCACCCCAGCCCATGGGGCAGGGAAGCCAGCTACTCAGGGACCTCTCCTGCCTGGAGGGTGCAGTGATACCTCCTCCCCGGCCGTGCCTGTGCTCCTAGACCTATGGCTACAGTGGTTGGGTGACGTAAGGTAAAGGCTGTCAACTCTCAGAAATTTGGCCTTACCTCCCAGGAACTAGTTGGAGAGAAGGGATCTGCTGCTTTGGGAGAACGGCTGAACCTGGCCGGCCCTTGCTTCCCTGGTGGCCAGAGCAGGGATCGGGCCGGGACGGGCCATGAACCTCACCCCTTCTTAGAGCCGTGACAGCTCTGAGGGAGGTGGGGTGCTCCAGCTGGTCCCTTTCTATCCTGCTCTGGCACCGGCCCCCACCTCCTCACTCAGACCCCTCCCTTGATCGAGCTCTTGGGGCTCATTCCTGGGACACTGTGGCCTGGTCCCACTTTGAAACTGAGGAAGGCTGAGTGAATGCTGAGCCAGCCCAACTGGAGGCCGGCTGCCGAGACCTGCTACAATGTTCGTTTTTGTAAAAATAAAGCTTGATTGTTCACAGATCTGGTTCCTCGCTGCCTGGGGAGTCCTGGGAGGCCCCAAAAGAGGGAAGAACACATTCAAACATGGGGATGGGCATGCTGGGGAAAGGGTAAGACTGGCCTTATGGCTCATTTCTTTCCTTCAGGAAAACCTCTCATTACTACTCACCCTTTTGGCCCCAGTGGGGGGGGTCACCTGCAGGGTAAGGCTAGGGGACTGCAGAAGGGCTCCAGACTGCTGCGGAGCTGAGCTACCACGCGTCTGCAATAACCTGTTTTCACCCTATTCCAACATACACCAACTCTTTGCAACACTACCACCCTCACTCTGGCCTGTTTCCAAGGTTACTGTATTTAAAACCTTCTCCCTCACTCACCCTTACCTTAGGGAATTCATCTGGGTCACTTCTGCAAGCTATGGTAGCACAGGGTCTCTTCCAGCCCAGTGGTCCTCTGAGCCCAGCAGCGCCTGGTGGGCATCTTCCCCAACCTGTCTGTCTGCATCAACTCCGAGCTTCCCCCACCTAAGACTCATGCCGCCCTTTATGTGAAAGGCTTAGTGTTGGAGGTCCCTAAGGATAGAAAAGAAGGGGATGTCATCACCAGCACCCTTCCTGGTGACAGGAGCGTGGAGAGGTGGACAACACGGCAGTCCACCCGCAATGACTCAGAATGACTTTACTTAGGAGATAAGACCATGATATGGGGGCTAGGAGCACCCCAAGGCCCAGTTCTCACAGAGCCTGGATCGCTCCTGTAAGGAGCTTTCTTACACCAGAAAGGCCCAAGCCTCAGTCTCATGGGGCAACAGGAAGAGCCTCACCCCCTCCACACTGCCGGAGGTGTAGGCTCGGGGGTCACTGCTACTGGGTCTTACAGTCCCCATCACTGCTGTGGGCCGTCTTCACTTTCTTTAGCTCCTTCTGAAGCTCTGCCTCGGCTGCCAGGATCTCCTTTGGCTTCTGGTACTGTGGGCGGAACCAGGAAGAGGACTTAATTCAGTCACATCCCCCCCTTGGGGTGGGGGGACCTCCTCTGATGCCTTTATTTGAAAATGAGGAAACTGATAGCTATAGAGTTGAATGATTTGTTCAAGGTCACGTGACTGGATAGGAGCCTACCACCCAAACCCCACCCAGTCCTGTGATATCCACCCCTCCACATCACCCTCTCCTCTTCCAGCTGTGATTTACCAGCTCAGACCCTCCCTGAGCGGCCCCCCCTCCCACTGTTGAAGAAGAGGTGCCTGTTCTCTAACAAGCACACTCCAGGGTTGTGACAGAACGGGGGGCCCCTATGGGAAGGGAAGTGGGCGGGGAAAAAAGGAGCCTCTCCCTGATGCAGGGGCCAAGAGGTCTGGGCAAATCTTACAGAGATGATCAGCGTGCAGTTGGCATGAGCAAAGCTCAGCGAGGACTCATCCAGAGGTAGCTGGTGTCTGTCTAGGTCAGGAATGGAGAACTTCTTGTAGTACCTGTGAGAACACCAAGAGGTCACACGCACATCTGGCGAGGTGACCGCCAACGGGGCAGCAGGCACCTCTGGTGCAGTTTCTATACAGTTCTTCCACTGAGCCAAAGAGGAAGAAGAGAAGGCAGTTAGAACACCAGTATTTTAGAGCTTAGCGGGCCTGGACATAAAAGAATGAAGGACCTTTGGGCCAGGCCAGTGGCCAAAGAGCAGGACCCGTCATGATTCCTTGGTTAGACCAGGGATTAGCGTGGGCCCTGCTTCGGGCTCAGGACCCCCAACCACACTCAGAAGCAGCCTCCTGTGACACAGCTCAGGCAGGCCAGGCCTCCGCTGCAGCCCTAGGACATGGGAACACGTATGGTTAACAAGGGACAGAATACATCTATCTAGAGATGTTGCCCAAAGCTGGGGACCAACAGTTGCCACTCCCACGGACCTCCACTGAAAGACACGGCTACTTTTCCTCTTTTGGGGTCTGTCTCTGAAGACCCTGCTGGCCTGACTCTAGAGGGAAGTATATCCACAAGGACAATCTACGAGAACAAGTCACCGGACTCATCTCGGAAGCTGGCTCTCTGGCGCTCTGGGCTACTTTGCTGCCCCTGCGGCCCCCTCCCCCATTTTCACATACAGTCCCTATCGTCTGCAGGTGCCAGTCCAGAGATTAATGATCATTTTCAGTAAAAACAAACTGAACTGAAAAACCCAGAGAGCAACATCTAGCCCATAATGTGTACAACTGGACTTTGTTTTACAGGAAATTTGACCTTCTTTACCAAAGAGGAAACTCGGGGCTCAGAAGGGTGAAATGTCTTGCCCGGCTTCACAGCCAGTGGTCAGTGGAAACAGTAGTAAAGTTCCTCGCTCCTGCTTGGGTGCTCAGCACACCGCATCTCTAGCGACAGGCCCGTGCAGTGGAGGCCCTGGCAGTGGCATCACCGCTGCTGCAGTGGCCGTGTGGGCCGGGAAGGGCAGCGCTGCCGGCAGGGACAAACAAGGGAGGGGCCTGGAGAGGATGGGGCTTTTAATACTTCCGAGGGGCCTGGCCCTTGTGGTGACAGCTACCCTGAGTCCACTTCAAAAGCCCCGATGCCCCAGGGACTCAGAGTTGACATCAATGCGGCACTTCTGTCCTGCTCTCCTGCCCAAATCCCCGAGTTTAGCCTAGGCTCTGGGGGCTGGGGTGGGGGGAGCCCTCCTCCCAGGTCCTCTGCTCTCGCCAAGGTGCTGGGACCCATGGCAGGAAAAGAATGTTTACTTAAAGGCTGACAGTTCAAAAGGAGTGGGGGCTGGGGGATCCTAATGGCACCACAAGTTTGCTTTATTTTCCAAAGCTCTGCCCCAGGGAAAGGCGATCCATCTGCCTGCAAACTGGGGTGGAATGCTGCCTCATCCTCCCAGCCAGCCTGGGCTGAGGGCTCTTCCTGGGGCCCTTGGGCTGGCCAGCAAAGGTGGCAGACACTGATAATAGGGGGGAGTCAAAGGTTAAACAGCAGAGATTAGATGAACACAAAGGCTTGTTAGGAAGTGTTAACATCTTCCCTGCAAATATACACAAGAAACAGAACTGAGGGAGCAGCAGCCCAAGCACACGCAGGGCCTGTGTAAGGCCTTACTGTGCAGAGCGCAGGGACATCCTTCCTGCCCACCTGTCCTGTGCTGGGGGGACGGGGACAGAGGCACACTGGCAAACCTCATTGCCCCAGGCTGGGACATTGGGACTGGAAAAAGAAACCCGGGCAGCTTGGCCTCCATGGTGACAATGACAAGATCAAAGGGAACTTGAGGTGTGTGGCTTGCCTCCCCCTGTCCCACACCCACACCTTTCAGCACGAGGCCAGGGCGCCAGGGCAGAGGCAGAGAGGCTTGGAGGCTCTCTTGGTCTTGGGACCAAGATCTCTCATGGATTTAGTTTACTGGCTGAGGTTACACAACTTTCCACAAAGGCTCCTGAGGCAGGGTTCAAGGAAGTTCAGGGCATCTGCTTTCTCTCCTCAGGGAGCAGCCCACCCTGTGTCACCTCCGTTCCCTGGCCTCAGATCTGCCTCAAGAGGAATCACACTTGACTTTCTCACCAGTACCTGGACTAGAGAGGGACCCACTGTGCTTCTGGGAAAGTCAGAATGCTCAGCCTCAGGCAGCACTAGAGGAGACAGGAAACGTGTCTCAGGCATCAACTGTGCCCCAGGCCTTGAGCTGTGAGCTGGGGATTTAAGGATGAAGAAGAAAGATTTAACCTATCTCTGCCTGAAAGCTAAACCCTCACAGCGCAGTGGTTCCTGGGGTCTCGGAGGACATACAACACTCCCTGTCCCCATCTCCTATTACCATGTTCAGTCTCGGTCACACAATGAAAGGGGGCATTGGTAAATGCTTATTCTGGGCCAGACACTGCTTTGTACGCAGTGAATCCTCAAAACAACCCTCCAGGTTGGTTGCTTTTACAGAAGAGAAAACAGAGGAACGGACAGTTAGGTCTTTCTGGCCGGAGTCACAAAACTGGTACGGGGAGAAGCCCCTGTTACAAGTGATTTTTCCATGAACCTCCTGACCCTCTCTCCGCATCCTCTCCCCAAAGCAACAGACTCCCTGGGCTGGGTTCCTCACTCTGTCCAAGGATGGACGCCCCTGGGAGCCACCACCCTGCGGGCCCTCTGGGCACTCTAACAGCAGTTCTCCTTTCTGAATGTCAAAGTGTCCGAAGACACAGGGAAGCAAAGGTTCTCAGGACAGCGCCCCGTCCTGGTCTGTGGCCCTGGGCAGGCCACTTAACTTCTGGGCCCCAGTTTCTTCCTGCAAATTCCTTCCTCAAATAAAGGAGCTGAATGAACTTTTGTCACTGAACCAGATGAACTTTAAGTCCCTGTCAAACAGACCAGAACAGGCCAACTCTACCTCTCTTGACCCTGAGCTGAAAGGATGGCTCCTTCCTCTTGGCTATTTGAGAAATGACCTATGATGCCCCACCACTCTCCCACTGTATCCTCTTCCCAACTTCCAGCCCTTTCCCAACCGTTCTCCCTTGCAGGGAACTGAGAGAGGGCACAAGAGGTCAGGCCTTTAGGGAGAGACTCTGAGGAGAGGCAGAAAATAGAAGCAGGGTCTGCGGTGGACAGTCGCACGGGCCGTGCCGCACACGCATCAGGGCGCCCTGCACACGGTCATACAGGCATGGCCAGGGTGGTCCACGGAAGCCTCAGGCCAGCTCTGCCCTTAGAAAATCAGCAGGCATACCCTGCTCCTTTCTTAAACACCATGGCTCCCGGCAAACCGGTCATCTCTGCCTAAAGCGGCCCTTCCTAGAGTCACAGTGTGCACGTTCACCTACCAAGGCTGCTGTGAGTCCTACCAAAGAGAAACTTGTCTGATTCAGTTTCCAGAATTTATTTGAAAGCGGGATCCTCTTTTTCCAGTGATGCCTATGAACACCGGCCACCGTGTTAGTGTCACCAATGTCCAATCAGCCAAGTTCCAATTTCCAAAGAATTGCTGAAGACTTGCTGCCGGCTGGCCACTGTGCTGGGGGTCTGTCTGTGTATGACTGTGTCAAATTACCCAAACGATCTGTGAGGCAGGTAGGACTCTCCTATGATACATGAGGAACCCCTGCCCCAAATACTATAGATAGCACGTGGCAGAGACCAAATTTAAGCCAATCTCCCCCCCTCCCCCCACCCACCAGTGCCCTGGTTCATTAACTTATAGCTGCCAGCTTCTAGGCTGAGGCTAAGAAGCTTCTTTCTGCACAAACACCCTTATCAGGAATAGGCGGCGCCACACTGGGACCCTGGAAAAGCACTTTCTTTCTTCCTCCATTCATCCCTCTCTAATACCCGAGGCCAAGGACGTGACACACTGGAATCAATTCTTTCCAGAAAAGTGGCCAACCCAGTACTTCAGGGACAAGGCAGGTACGGACAAAGAAACTCTGGCTTTTACTAGTAACCACATTCCAGAGTATTAGACTGGGGACAGGCACAGAACCAGCAGGTGAAGGGAGAAGGCAAGCCAGAGAGAAATGCCACAGTGTGGTGGAAACTGCAGAGGTCTAGGTGGCTGTCCAGACAATCACCAACTTCCCCTTTGCAAGTCAGTTCATCATGCTGACTTGACAAACACACTGATGTAATTGTTACTCTGTAACACAGCAATAAAAATATGTATCCTGCCCAACTCCGGGTGGTGTGATGATCACAAAACAGATTTTTAAAAAATTATCTTTTTAAAAAATTATTTATTTTTGAGAGAGAGAGACAGAGATAGACATTGTGAGCGGGGGAGGAGCAGAGAGAGAGTCAGAGAATCCCAAGCAGGCTCTGAACAGTCACCGTAGAGCCCAACGAGGGGCTCAAACCCAAGAAACATGAGATCAGACCTGAGCCGAAATCAAGCTTAACTGACTGAGCCACCCAGGAGCTCCAGAAAACAGATTGTTAAAGTATCCTGAAAAAGCTGAGCTTATCCTACCCAAAAGAACAGCCACTGAGTTGTTCAATCAGTGGTAGTAAAGGTGTAAGACACATTACTCCTCCTGGTAGATGAAAATGCCACTAGACTCCAGAAAGAACCAGTTAAAGATTTAGCGACCTTTCCTATATGGGGCAGAAGGACCTGAAGAAGGCTAGGCTGAGCCAGGCAGGGCCACTGGACCAGAGGCTCAGTGTGGGCTCCAAAGTGGGCATTCACATACTTCTCGCCCCTCTGTGGGAACCCTACCCCTTGCCCCTCCAGGCCTCACCTACTCCCATCCCACCTGGCCTCACCCATCAGTTCAAAAATGCCTCCCCCCTGCCTTGAGCGCAGGAGCGGGCTTCGAGCCCTGTAGCTCCTGGCCAACAGCGCCACCTACGGCTGGATCTGTGCAGCAGATGGGGCCCAGCGGATCTGCCCGCAGATGAATTTTTTGGTGAGCTAGCTAGCCTCTCTTCTCTCACTCCCCGGTAATCACATTTCTGCCTGATATCTGTATTCTACAGTGACCTCTGGGGGACAAAAGGGAGGCAGCAGCCAGCTCCACAAACTGCTAGGCTGCAGATTCAAGTGCTATCAGAAGCACTTTTGTTCCCAGTTTGGACCCAGGGCCTCTTCCACCAGGGAATGCTTGCTGAAGCACAGAGTTTGTTTTCCTAAAGGCAATTTCTCTGTTGTCTGAAATTGCTAAATTCCACTTTAGGCACTGACTCCCGTTAATGATGAGAACAATAACGGGAACAAACTGCCTTTTATCTGAGGGCTTCAAAGTGCTTTATAAACGCAAACCCTTATTATTATGACTTTATATTTATAGACAAGGCCCACTGCAGGGGCTGCTGGCTGCATGTGGAGCAATAATCTTGAAATTAATTCATTCATCTCCACCCCTTCCCCATCCCCTTAACCCTGCCAAAGTGAGAGGGTATGCGGGTCAGAAGCGGAGGGCAGACCCGTGGCTGCGCTGGGGCAGCCTGGGAGCTTTGCTGCTTCCCCATGGGCCTCATGGACCTGAGGGAGATGGGAGCGGAAGCTGGCACCACACCACCTGAGGAGATGGACAAAGAGCTGGGTCCTCCTTATGCTTGTGAAGCTGTGAATGGACGGATGGTAGCACCTGTGGCCCAAGCTTAGCACCCATGAGGCATGTTGGGTGGGTGCACAGCTGTGGACCAGTAGCTCCTAAAACCTTCCAATTTAATGCCCCTAAATGTACTTCATGGGAATTGGTCCTATACTACAATGCCTCTGGACCAGGGCAAGACCAATTCACTACAGGGCTCTGCCCCTGTGATCACTTGGAGCTCTGGAAATCTAAACACGATCAATGCATTTCCAAGATGGTCAGCCCAGAAGCAGCCCTGCATGAATCACATCTCCCGCCTTGGCACCTTCTGTCCCCTAAACCCCACTTTTTTGCACCCCCCCCCCCCAGAATACAAAGAGAGAAACAAAGGCAAGTTGAATACCCCTTCTAAAACAGAATGCAAGAGACTTCCAAGAGGCCCAAGTACCTGCCTACTGGCTCTCAGTCCCGTGAGGGATAAGGTGTGCTGCCCCCAGACTAGGCCTTTAAAGTTCCGTAACTGCCACCTTAGATAAGTGTGCCTTCCAGGCCATGGTTCCCCAACAGTGATATCACCAGGCCAAGTGCACCAAAGATTGGGTCCAGCCAGGAGGTCAAGGTAATAATCTTACAGTAGAACCACTAAGATCACAAGTTAACAGCCAAGTGATTCCCTCATCCTCTCGTCTACTCAACCCCAGTACGTGCCAGATACTGGACCAGACATTCGTTGCTCAAATTTCCCTGCCCCGATGGAGCTGATTACATTATTTGAGCTGCTCCTGCAGAGAGGAAGTCCTTCAGCTTTCAGCACCTTCTGGGGCTTCAGTGCAGCCCTCCTTCCTCCCTCAGAGCTGGGGGGAGGCTGCTCTGCCCTCCAGGGCAGGGAGCAGTCTGAGCCCCAACCCCAGGTCCAACCCTCCCTCCATCGTGCTCATACACAAGGCAGGCTCCTGATGCCACTTACTTTTTGTTGGTGGTTCTGACAACGATGCAGTGCTCCTTCTGGTCCACACAGACACCGTAGACATCCTTAGGGTAGGGAAGGTTTCGAATCCGCCACTGGAAGCTCATCCTGGTGTCCTTGCGCATGAAGATGGGCTGCAGAAGGCAAATCCAACTTAAGGACGGCTCTTGGAGAGGGGGAGGAAGGGGTGGCTCCCTGCTGCAGAGCCTCCCCGGGGCGCACAACAGGAGACCCTGTGCTCCTCTCCACAGCTCCCCTCTGATCCTGCTACTGTGTGACATTCCAGCCCTAATCCTGGGATGACCAAGCCAAAACCCTTTGGGTATTCATTCAAGCAAACACTTCTAGAGGGCTGGGTCCAGGTGGGTACCCTGGAGATAAGGAGGTAAAGACTGGTGTTTGCCTTCAAAAGGGCTGGCAGCCCACTCCCACCCCAGCCTCCCCAAGGCACCTGACAGACAGACATACATTGGCATTGTTTTCCTTGATGAATTCAGGCCCCAGGTTCCCTGCTCCTGGGAGTGCTGGCTCTCCCACCTCAATCTGCCACTGGCCCAAGGCTCCCAGGGCACTTTTCACGCGCCACTTTCTCACTGAGGAGAGAAGGAAGCAATGGGATTATGGGGAAGGAAGGGACTGCTCTTCCCTGCTGAATCACTGACATCACATTAGATAACCGGAACAGGATAAAAGTAGGCACGACAGGCCTTTACCCCAGTTTCGTCCATCCGAGCAGGATGTCGTAGCTACTCAGGAGAGCATTTCAACATTGGATGACTTGGAAAGCCCACATCACGGGTGCCCAAACTAAACGGATTGGAACAAAACTCCAAAAGGAGCTAAGTGGAGTTAAGAATCCTCCAGGCATGATTTCAAGCAAGGGAGGGATGTGCAGGTTAAGAAAAGGGTAGCTAGCTACTGGTAACAGGGAACATGTGGATCCCAAGAAGTGTGACTGGAGATGTATTTTTCCCCTCTACACATGTGCAAAGGAAAAATTAATTACGAGGGTGAAAGCTGACAATTTGTCTCATGATTCAGAAAGTCCAAATGTAGAAATTCACTCACTTCAGGTCTACCTGGCTTAAAACAACAGCCTGGGTTGTATTTAAACAAAATTTTAGGCACATGCCATATTTTATATGCATTATTTACAGATGATCTAACAGGAAATGCTTTGGAGAGCAGGCTTACCCTTTTATAATGCAAACAATCGTCTCTATTTTACCTTGTTTTACAACCCACATGTTTACATAAGTGCCTTTTTTTCCCCCAAGTAAGGCGCATACGGTATGGAAATCATAAATGAAAATGCTAGTTTGGTGGACATTACCTGGAGCCCCCTGCCAGGATTTTCAGGAAGCCCACTCATCCATGTCATCATGGTGCGGCCCCTGAGCCCGGTCCCTGCAGGGGCGCCTTCCTGAGTTCTAATGCCGGGGCTCCTTCCCCTTCCTGCTGCACCCAGGGTCCTCGCCGGGCTGAAGTGCCACTAAAGGCGAACAGCCTTCCTGAAGCGTCATGCGGAGTTAAACAACTCAAAAGGTGCCTGGTTTTTGGCCAAAGTTGCTCCCATCCGCTCCTGTTTCTGGGCTGGGCTGGGGTGGGGCTGGGGGGGGAGGGGGGGAGACCTGCTGTCTTGATTCTCAGGATGGTTTGAGACCTTGTGAGCAGCTGTGCCAAACCCAAACCCCCTCCCTGCTCCAAGGCAGGCATGCAAGCTGAACACAAAAGTGTGCTGTAAAATTAGAATTTTCCCTTGAATATGTGCTTTTATAAGGTCTGCTGCATTCTGCAGTGTGATTTTATTACGTCTTTGGGCCAAAAATTCTCCCTAGAAACACATTTCCAAGTTTATAATGAAAATTAATAAGGAAGAGTAAAACTTGGAAATATGCTTTATAGGCAACTTTTTTTTTTCTTCACAAATACTTCTACTCTCTTAAGTGAATGGGCTGTGACCGGGAGTGTATCCAAATCTATTCATGTAATACGTCGCTTAACTGGAAGCCAGCCTTCTGGCTGTCACACCATTTTCTTTCTTTTTTTTTTAAACACCTTGGATTAAATTCTTTGCTAGAATGAAGAAGGTCTTCCTACTCATTCCGTTATGAGATAAGAGCCAATAAACATTTTTGGTGGAGTCCCTGTTATTTTCCCCATGTACATGGGCATGAATGCACGCGTGCAAATACACACTTTGTCTCGTTTTTCTTGTCCTGTCTTTGTTCCTGAACTCAAGGACAGTTCCTGCGGCAACAGAGGACTGTTTCCACCTGCTGTCACTCTGATTTGATTATATGTTAAACCCAAACTAGTGTGTGCAAGGTAGCTCCCTGGGATGCTGTCCTACCTTCCCGGCTGAGCCAGGGCCAGTCTTTGGAAAGGAGACTGTCGATGACCCTACAGGGTCTGCTGGGGAACAGATGAAGGAGGCAGTGCCTGGGGGCTTTTTCCCTAAATCAGCAGGAAGCAGGCTGATGTCCTAGACTGCTGAAAGGGAGCCCCATCTTTCAGGTGGGCTGGAAAGTGGAGGTCCTAAAGGCCTCTTTCCCCAAAGCTCCAAGCCTTGGCCCGCTTCCAATGTGGATAATTACATTCCCCTTTCCTAAATACTCCCTGCAGCTTAAACTGGATGCAGGATTCTTCTTTTCTGCCCTAAAACACTGCAACATTGCTCTGTGGCTATTAAACAGCTGCCACGTCCCATCCCTGAGGAGGCTGAAGGGAATCGAGTGGGTCATTTATAAAGCCGGTGAAGTGCTTGGGGATGAAAGTGCTCAATATCCTCCAAATGCAGCCTGGGGTGGTTAGGCTGGCGGTCAAATACCAAAGCAGATTAAGCCGGTAATCCAAATGTAATCGCTGGGGGATGGCCTGCCCTTCAGCCTCTGCCCCCCCTGACATGCTGTGTTCCTCTGGGGCTGGTTTGATGTTCCGATCATTGTTATGGGGCCCTTCAGGTTTTTCCTCTATGACTACATACAGCACGCATTGTGTGGGGTGGGAATGAATAGCATTGAGAGGGTTGAAAAAAATATGACACTACTATGCTTATTAACACCGACTGGAAGAATTCTATCCTACACAGATGCACTGCTGGCAAATTACTTTCTGGGTTTTTCTAACAGAAAACCAGTTTATCCAATTATCACATTTGTATAGTTAGCTGGAAAAATGGAAACAATTCCCATTTATGGCCATAATAACCCTGTCCATATTTTACTTCATAGAGTGCTCAAGCTGACGTTAGTTCAGGCCCTGGGATTGTTTATACTTAAAAAATGAATAATAAACAGTATTTTGCAAGGGCAGCTGGCAAAGCTGGGGTGGAGTGGCTGGAGATGGGTAAGAGAAGGGTCAGCTGTTCAAAAAGGGCCCAGTGGTTTGAATGGGGTGTTCCTGTCAGTCCATCTCTGTTCTGCTCCCAGCAGCCCCTGCTCTGATCATTCTGGGGAAAGTAAAATTTAGTAAGAAGAAAAGAAAGCAGGATTAAATATTCTCAACTGCTAATACTATGTTGTTGTGGATTAAAGCATGGGCTCTTAACCAGGCAGACTTAGGCTTAAATCCTAACTCAGAAACTAACCAGCTATAGAATTCTGAGCAAGGTGTTTAACCTCTTAGAGGCTCCGTTTTTTTCTGGTAAAAGAGGGCAACAGCGCACACCTTCTCAGGCGGCAATGAGGATGACTCAGGGAGATAGCTCACGTAAAGCACTTAGCATGGTGCCCAATAAAAGTTATGGTATTAATACCATTATTAGGTAAACTTTAGCCAAACAATGTTCTCTTATCAATCTCCATTTCTGCTTTTAAGAAAAAATGAGTTTGTAGGCCACTGTCTATTCCCCACCTGCCGAGAGAAGTGACAGGTTAACGTGGGATGCTACAGATGAAGGCACCTGAACTTGTTTTTCATTTTAACTTCATGTCCAAGCACAACTAAGAGGCCTGGGGTTATTTGTTTGCTTGATTTTATGGCCACAGCAGCTACAGCTGTTTTATTTGCTCTGAGTAGCGGAGAGAAGTGGTGCTGGGGGGCTGGGGCAGAGGAACTCCGGCTAGCCTCTGGCCTGGCAATGGTGGTGGTTAGCCCACGTGACCCCTGCTTTCATAAGCTCGCCCCTGTTAGGCATTCCAAGGCTGTCACCCCCTGGGAGCACTATAAATTACAATGCATTGTAAGGATATTACTACTGTATTGGTTTCTACCAAATCAGTGTCATATGCTAAACACATCAAGATTTTTAATAGCACCAGACTAAACCAATTGGGACTGGAGCCCAAGCAGCTAATAATAAGGAGGGATCAACACTTCACTCTGCGACTGAACATGCGCAGGACACACATTTTAAGACTGGAGACTGAGAAAATGCAAACCAGTGTAATCTGTGTTGTCGGCTCTCGACATTTATGAGCTGTCAGAAAAAGGGAAAACGAAATTCCCTTGCCAATACTACCTGTCGATCAGGCCCAGGAAGAAATTAAAGTCAAGAAAATAACCCAACCCATGATTCCATCACTGGTCTTAGCATTTCAGGTGGAACTTAATAAAGAGACCAACTCCCACTGCCGACAGCCTCGGGCCCTGGGTCAAAGCAGCAGCCACCTAGCTCTGGGAAGTCAGTTAATGCTGATGTGTGTACCTGGCACAGAGGATGGACAAATCAAATACTTCCCAGAAATCTGAGCTGGAGCCCCTATTCATGAGCCTAGTCTTAGAGGAAAAGAGTTGCAGGAATGAAAACGACAAAGCTGCAAAAGCCCCATTTCTACTCCCAACCCCTTTTGATTCAGGCATTCTCCAAGGTAAGGGTCAGATTTCACAGTGCCGCCTCTGGCGCCCTGTGTTGAGTAGCTGCTGCCTCTGATGCTTGCTTGCTCCTGGTGTGGCTTCGGAAAACAAACAAACAAAACAAGCAAAACAACTACAGTTAAAGTCTGTCCTTACCTCTTCTCACTCAGCCTACAAGGCTCACTTCCAGTTCCGCCTTCCCTGTACAGTTCTCGCCCAACAGTTTCCCTACAGGAGACTTCCGCTCTCATTTGTCTGGGGGTCAGGTGGAGTTTACTGGTCGAGCAGACACCCACTCCATCTCCGGTGTTCAGCCCTGACCTCACATCATTCTCAGGAACAAGCTTGCCTCGGGCTAGAAGTGTTTACCTGTGCTTAGATCACCCCAAGTGTTCCTAAGGGCCCACTGGGAGCCCCGTCACTTACCAAGTAGTTCGCCTGACTTCTCATCGTATTCTTCAGCCATTTCCTTTCCATCTGGGAACAAATAGTGCACCTTCCTTCTCCCTGTGCATGAAGTAGAGAGAGTCGCTTACCCACAAGCCACTTCTTACCTTGTACATCAAGGGATCAACCTGGGAAACACCAACAGCCTTGGGCATGGGCATGAGAAACCCTCCCAGAGCTACCCATGAACTCCTTGTCAACCACTGCCCACCATTAAGACGCATCTGGGGATGCATTTCCTTTCTGCGGCTTTCTCTGAACGTGCCTTTGCTCTGCTGTTCCCTCTACCAGCAAAGCTCCACCCTTCTTTTCATCTGTTGAACTCCTCACCCTTCAAAATCCAGCTCAAATGTCACTCCACTGGGAAGTCGTCAGCCACCTCAGCCAAATGCATCACTTCCTTATTTGCTTGTGCCTCCCTAGTATTTTATTCATATCCACAGTGGAGCATTTATCACATAGTATGATACTTTTTTAAAAAAGTGTCCTGCCTCCCCAGGAACAGTGCCATATTTATCTTTCTCTCCCCAGTTCCTAAAACCAAGCCTGTGAGCTCAGAATACTGAACTGAGTTTCCTGACCAAGCACTCCTTCTACCCATGTGATTGCTCTGCCTTCTACTTATCTCTAGGCCATTCCTGGCACACAGCCACATAATGTTAGTCCTTGTATGTTTTCTTCATGGCATTTACCTTGGATATGATTTACATTTGTGTGATTCTTTGATTACTGACCGTCTCTATTAGATAGGAGAGGTTTCATCCCTCTTGCCTATGGTTTCCGTACCACCAAGCAAAGTACCTGGGAATATATCAGGAGCTCAACTAAATATTAACCGAATGAATAAATGAACATTGATTCAACTCTCATTGAAAGAATGCAAGAATCCATGGGCGCCTGGGTGGCTAAGTCAGTTAAGCATCCAACTTCAGCTCAAGTCATGAGCTCGAGGTTCATGAGTTGGAGCCCGGCATCAGGGCTCTCTGCTGTCAGCAGGGAGCCCGCTTCAGATCCTCTGTCTCCTTCTCTCTCTGCCTCTCCTCCATTCACTTCTCCCTCTCTCTCAAAATAAATAAACATTAAAAAAAATAAAGAATACAAGAATCCAGGAGAATCTCCTAGCCCAACTATTCCACCTATATAATATAATCATAAGCATTTTTCTTAAGTGACTATGTAATTTTCTACGTTTTTACAAATGGGTAAGTTGATGTAAGTAGGTTCCTTAGTGAGCCTAATAACACCGGACAGGTACTCAACCTACGCTTGATGAATATGAGGCTCAGGGACCTTGAGCAGCTAAAGGAGTCATTATCTGATCTACCAAGACTTTCCCCAACTAATTCACTCCCCCGGACACAGTTCCCTGCAGTCAGTCCTAATTTGTATTCTGGGGAAACTCATCCCCAAATCTGCAGAGCCTCTTAGCATGCTCCTAGGTTATAGTGCCCTCAAGCATCTGGATGGCTCATAGAGCTGGAAAGGGTTTTCCTGTCAGGAGTGGGGTACACAGTGCTGCCTGTGAGTAGCTGAGAGTGTGGCCTGACCCTCTTGAGTCCATCTTGAGTCCAGGCAGGGTGCAGTGTTTCCTAGTGGCCGGCACTTCACAGGTTTTATTGCATTTGATTCTCATAGTAACCCGATGTGTCCCCACTGTGTGTTTCATAAATGAGGAAAATTGAGGCATAAGGGGCTTACAACTTGTGCAAGCTCAAAAAGCTGTGACACGACAAACTGACTGAAGTTCATTTGATGCCAAATTCTATGCTCTAATAACATATTAGGAAAATGTGCATAGCTTTAAATATTTGTAAGGTTGAACACTGTTCCAAGGGTTTATTGGTCATTTCTAGTGAATTACCTGTTTAGGTCTTAGCTTATTTTATTTGGGAATTCATTTTTTTTTACCGATCTGATTGAACTTATATATGGTTATATATATTAACGATGAATCATATATGTTGCAAATATTGTTTCAATTGCCTTTTAACTTTGTTTAAAGTGGAACGGGTTCTCAAACAACTGTTTAATTTTTATTATAGTCAACTATTTTTTCCTTTGTGGTTACTACCCAGGAGTTGTGCTTAGAATATCTTCCCTTACCCAAAGATTATACAATAATTATCTGTACTTTTTTGTGATGCTACCAACAAAAAACCAAAATCCTACATGATCAAATATTTGTTTAGATACTGTCCTATGACCAAATGAAGTGAAAGCAGAGACTCAAACAAGTATTTGTATACCCATGTTCATAGTAGTAGTATCACAACAGCTAAACAAGTGGAAGTGGAATGGGGGAGTTAGTTTCTGATAGGTAGAGTTTCAGCTGAAGATGAAAAAGTTCTAAAGATGGATGTACCACAATATGAATATACTTCATGCCATAGAACTGTATCCTTAAACATGGTTAAAATGGTAAGATCTATGTTATCTATTTTTTTTGAGACACACATGCACACACACCCCCCCCATGAGCGGGGGAGGGGCAGAGAGACGGAGGGAGACACAGTATCCCAAGCAGGCTCCAGGTTCTGAGCCATCAGCACAGAGCCCAACACAGGGCTTGAACCCACAAACCAGGAGATGATGACTTAAGCCGAAGTTGGACACTTAACCAACTGAGCCACCCGGGTGCCCCATATCTATTTTTTAAAATAAAACCAAAAACCACTGCTGTATGAGATAATGTCCAAAATCTTTAGCTTGGCATAGGAGATCTATCACAACATACTCCAATTTATTTAAAATCCCTCCTCATGTCCCACCATTTCTCCTCACTGCTCCTTGAGAAAAGAGCATTTATTCACCCTTGCATCCTAGTACCTAGCACCTGACAAGGTGTGGGGCGGGTTATGACTGGCTTGCATCCTAGTACCTAGCACCTGACAAGGTGTGGGGCGGGTTATGACTGGGTGAGTGCTTCAGCCTCCCTAAGTGCTTTTGTCGTTTCCCTGGTAATCCGCCATATACTCTCACATCTCCACACCTTCCTTTACAAGTGAATCATTCCTCCTGCAACAGCCGTCCCCTCTTCTCCACTTGCAAACACACATTAGTATCACCTCTTCTGTCCCGTCTTCTTTCAAAGAGATGATCATTCCCCTCTTTGTGCTCTCACAGCACTTTATAAAAGATTCCAACCTCTATTTAACACACACTCTTATTTATTTACACATCCCCCCCCCCCGCTCTAGTACACAGCTTAACACATAGTTAAAATCCTCCCTAAATGCTGAGTGAATGAACAAATGAGCAGGTGATTTTAATTTACATGCTTCCCTGATTGGCCTTTGCCCAAAAGACGTGCGCCTCTACTGGTATCCTAAAATCTACAAGAATTCAGATCTAATTCCTTCTGGCTGCCAAGTGGGTGCAGGAACGGGCTCTGCAGCACTGGGGGTTCCTACATCCGCCAATCCTAGGGTGAGAGAAAGTCAGGACTCCATACCCCCATGCCCACCTTTTCCAGGCACAGCCCTGGGGCCCTTGCTCTGTTTTCCCTATAGACCCAGGGAACATTTAGAAGTTTCACTTACAAACATACTACAGCTGAAAAGGACCTCAGGGGTAACCCATCCAGCTCATTTTACAGATGAGGAAAACGAGGCCCAAGCAAGCAAAGAGGCTGTGATTTAACTGCAGAGTGGTAACTAGATCCCAGGTCTCCCGCCTCTCCAGGACAGCAGGCTACGTTCGGCAACAGAATCCGCACTGACTGGACGGGGTTGGGGAGGGCTAGGGCTGGTCTAAGACCCTCTCGGATTTCAGCTTCCTCTTCTACAAAATGGAGTGGGAAATTAACAGCCTCTCGGACAGCTGTGGGGAGCAAATGACATAACGAATGTGAAGGGAGTTATTATTTATTAGTAACAGAATTCAGAGCTGGGCGAAGTGGGGTAGAGGAAACTAGGAGGTGTCCAGAGACGCGTGTTCCAGTCACGTCATCTCTCTGGGCCTCAGTTTCCTCACCTGCCAATGAGGGACGGCCTGTCTAGCAGCAGCGGCCTTCCAGCTCGGCAGTCCCAGGCGGAGGCCCTTCGCGGAGGTGCCAGCACGGAGGGCTGGACCCTGGGGGAAAGGACTAGGGGGCTCGTGAGGGGCCTCGAGTTACCGTCCTGCAGTAGCGCCGTCTTCTCGGCGGTCCGCAGACTCTCCAACCAACCGGTTACCGCCATCTTCCCTGCGCCTAGCCAAGCGCCCGGCCGCTGCCATGGAAACCATTCCGCCTACGGTCACTTCCGGCCGACCCGGAAGATGTTCTGGGCATTTGCTCTTCTCCACCTCCCCTCCCCCCTCGACTTCCCACCCACCACTCCCTTCGTCCGCTCTCATTGGCTGTCCTGGTAAGTGGTTTACTCCTGCCACCCGCGGGGCCTGAAGTTGACCCCACCTGGGACCGAATCGCTACGGTGGGCAGGGGTCCTTAGGTCTGGGTTTGGACCCTCCAGCTGTCCTCTGACCTCCAGGTGGGAGTCCTTGGCGCGTGCCAGCTGCGCTCGTGGCGGGTGCCCCACAGCTGCCTGTCGTCTCCACCCCCAGCTGTGAGGCGAAGAGTCCCCAAGTCTCGGAAAGGCGCCCTACACCTGCTGCCGCCTTGCCCTGTCTCCCCGCAGCTGCGGGGCTGAGCACCCCAGTGACGGGTGGCCGGCGACCGGGGCAGGTGAAGGGCGTTTTCTCCCGCCTCCCTAACACCCTGGCCTCCTAGGGTTTCCTCTGCCGGTCTGTGATGGGATAAAGAAAGATCACGTGGAGTTTAGATGCAGATTCCTCCCAGTCCTTCAACCCTCTTGGGAGCCCAGGTAAAGCTGTAGCTCCATTTCCTAGCCTGGCGTCCCCTTTTGGTAAAGCCCTTTCAAAGTGGGATGCAGCAGGGCAGACACTGCACTGAATCTTTAGAGCAAACCCTCCAAGAAATATAATTTTGTACCACTCAGAAGTTCCCTAATAGGCCCTTTCTTCCCCTTCTTCCCCCCAGTACTCTGACATTGAAAGGCTGGTGAGTGCTAGGCTAAACTGCTAAAGTTCTCTTCGGTTTGGGATGCCCCAAGGAACTGGGCTACTGCCCCCAAACCCTGGTCATGAGAGACCACCTTTATAGGCGAAGGGTTGGATAACCTCAATTCTGGGTTTCCACATGATAGTTGCCCTGATCAAACCTAAAACCTAAAGGCCAGGATCCGGCCATTCCTCAATGGACCCCAGGGGCATCTTGAAGGCATTTCCTAAGCGGAAGAAAATTCATACCGATCCATCATCAAAAGCACTTGCAAAGATTCCCAGGCAAGAAGATGGAGAAGCAGGAGGTGAGCAGACCCACCCTCAGAGCCCTCATGTACTCAAACCCTTAGGATTCCTATATTGCTCATGTCTAGACTCAGATATTAGAGCTGATTCTGCCCGCCCATGGACTGCGTGTTGGTTTGTATCTCTCTTGCACAAGCCTTGGGCCCCAGTCTTTGACAGGCCACTTGCTCTGTCTATTAATAGTAGGTGTCTATTAATACTTGTTGAAAGAATAAATGATCAAATGAAGTGATATATAGGATACCTACAATGTGCTAGACACTGTTCTAGGTTACATGAGGGAACAGGACATATCAAAATCCTTGCCCCTTATATCAAGTGATGGTCCATGGAGAAATTAACTGTATGTTTGCGGTAGAATTCCCCAGAAGGCTGGCTGTCTAAATGGAAGGAAAATGATTGTTTGGGGGCACAGGACTCTAAAGGGTTCATTCAGATCATATCTGACAGTTATGACAGTAGGCATCTGGATGTCCCTTACACAGAGTGGCTGAGCTCCCTGCGTGCCCATGTTGTGCCCAGTGGCATTGGGCAGGCCCGGGCACAGCTCTTTGAGAAGCAGATTATCCAGCATGGTGGCCAGATATGCGCTGCCCAGGCCCCAGGGGTCACTCACATTGTGGTGGATGAAGGCATGGACTGTGAGCGAGCCCTCCGCCTCCTTCGACTGCCCCAGCTGCCCCAGGGCGCCCAGCTGGTGAAGTCCACCTGGCTCAGCCTGTGCCTGCAGGAGAGAAGGCTGGTGGACACGGCAGGATTCAGAATCTATATCCCCAACAGGTGGGTTGGCCCCAGTCTTTCCTCTTGTTTTCTGGCAGCATCCGGAACTCTCTTCTCGGGTTACTAAAAATAACTTTACTGTCTTAATGGGATACATTAGGAAACCAAGATCTCAAAGTAGAGTATTAGGAGCAGAGGTAGGGCCAGACCTTTGGGGTCTTAACTTGCCGTTACCATCCCCGCAGGTACCCGGACCAACCACAGCTCAGCAAGACAGACCAAGACTTTTCTGCTCCTGGAGCCAATGGGGCTCCGCTCAGGACAGCCCTCTCTTCTCCCCCTCCTCCCACCAGGCCTGTATCTCCTCCCCAGAGGGCAGAAACAGCCCTGAGCACCCAAGCCCAGGTCAGGAGCCTCCTAGCCCTCACAGCTCCCTTCCCCTGGGAACTAGATCACAGAAACAGGGAGGGCCTGGTGGTTGTTCAGAAAGTCCTAGGCTCCTGAAAGAGGAAGGGCCTCTTTATTATGAGGCCATTTGGCTCTTCCCAGCATTCATCATGTCTGCAGTTGCCCGGGCCACATCTACCACATACCACTGGGGATTCTAGGACTGGGCACTGGGGGGAAGCCAGATGGAACGTGGCCCCTCACTTAAGGAGATTCAGGTCTGACTCATTCCTGAGTCTGGCTAGGAGGCTCAGCCCCCATCTTTGAGGAGCTCTCCTAGGGGTGTGAACTTATCATCTCCTCTCTTTCCCCACCTCAAGCCTGGCTCTGATGATGAAACCAGTGATGGGGAAGAGACCCAGGTCAGCGCAGCTGATCTGGAAGCCCTTATCAGTGGCCACTACCCCACACCCCTTGAGGGAGATGGTGAGCCCAGCCCAGCCCCTGAGGGCCTGGATAAGTGGGTCTGTGCACAGCCTTCGAGCCAGAAGATGACCAACCACAACCCCCACATCACAGAGAAGCTGGAAGTACTGGCCAAAGCCTACAGTGTTCAGGGAGACAAGTGGAGGGCCCTGGGCTATGCCAAGGCCATCAATGCCCTCAAGAGCTTCCACAAGCCTGTCACCTCCTACCAGGTACCTGGGGGCCGGCACAGGGTATGCGGGGGGATGGGGGGCCTTCTGTTTACTGGCCAGGGGTTGGTGGTGGCACCAGTCACAAGAGGGATCGGGTGGAATGCTTAAGATTTTAAGACTTGCACAAAAGAAAATGGGAGATGGATGAAAGCAGACTGACAAAATCCTGATATCAGTATAGAAGCTGCTGACAGGTACTTGGAGGATCATTATACTGTTCTCTCTATTTTGGAATCTTTTCCCACAGTAAATAGTTTTTAAAAAGTTTAGACTCTGGAGGCCAACAGACCAGAGTTTGAATTCTGGTTCCCATCATTCACCGTGTGATTCTAGGCAAGTTACTTAAACCCTTTGAGCAATGAAAAGGAACTGAGCAAGAAGAGTGAGAAACTTAGGTGTTCCCATGAGGACCAAATGAGATGCTCGCTGTCGTGCAGTAAGGCCTGCTACGCAGCAAAGCCTCAGTGAATGGCTGCTCTCACAGTTGTGAGGGTGATGGTGATCAGTATCGTCACTACTGCCTTTTCTCTACTTCCTGTGCTCACCTCCATCCCTCTGAAAACCAAGAGGCAAGTTTCCCAGCCCATTCTATCCGAACTTCTCATCTTCAGTTGTGCCCACGCTTTACACAGCCATCAGTTGCCAAGGAGCCAGGCTGGCTTTTACTCAGATTCCTGCTGAAGGAGTCTGCTAGCCTGCTGCTGGCTCTGCGCCTGCCATCTTCTCACTCTCCCTTCCTACCTCTGCCTCCTCCACCCCTAGGAGGCCTTCAGTATCCCTGGGATTGGAAAGCGGATGGCCGAAAAAATCGCAGAGATCCTGGAGAGCGGGCATCTGCGGAAGCTGGACCATATCAGTGAGAGCGTGCCTGTCTTGGAGCTCTTCTCTAACATCTGGGGAGCTGGAGCTAAGACTGCCCAGATGTGGTACCAGCAGGTCACACCGTGTCCCTGAACCCACTTCAGTTTTGGTCCTTCTCAGAGGTCCCGCCCCACAGTTCTCATACCCTGTGCTCAGATGGGAATGAACCCAGACTATCGGGAGACCGCTTTTCAAGGGGTCTAGGTCTCCTGGCTTCCAGAACTGTCCTGTAGCTTGGTAGCCTCAAGGCATTAATCTGTGGTGTAGACAGAGATAAGAAGTATGTTTCTCTGTCTCCCAGACCAACAAGGGCTCTCCTGCGAAGACCAGGACTCAAGGCTCAGTATCCAGATCAGTGGTTCCCAGTCTGGCCATGCCCAGAATCCCCCAGCATGATGCATTCATGAAGCATTATTTTAGGGTTGTGGTGGGGCTGGACTGGGGGGTGTCTCCCATGATCCCTACCTCTCTTGAGTCCCACTGATTACAGACCCAGCCACTCCTGGGGTTGGTCTTACCTCACGCCTTCCTTGGAGTTTGGGGGTGATGGTAGCCCAGTGTATGTGCTCATTCACTGCCTCTCCATTGGTCCTGGATGCTCACAGCCTCCTCATCTGGCTTCTTTTTTCCAGGGTTTCCGGACCCTAGAAGACATCCGCAGCCAGGCCTCCCTGACTACCCAGCAGACCATTGGCCTGAAGCATTATGATGACTTTCTGGAACGCATACCCAGGGAGGAAGCTGCAGAGATTGAGCAGACAGTAAGCAGGGGCCCCAGAGCAGTGAGGAGAAGCAGGCCTTGCTATAAGCTCAGGGCCTGGCTCAAAGCCAAGCACACCAGATCCCTCAGCTGGGGAGCCAGACAGAGGACGCTGTGGGACAGCAGAGGTTGGGACCAGTGAGGAAAGGGCAAGTTGAGACTGAAGCTGGAGGAGAGGGTGGCTTTGGTAGGGAAGGGCTGTAACACCAGGTCTCTGGATTAGAGTAGAGTGAACATTGGCAGAGATGCTAGAATGTCGAGACTGGGTTGACATGGGGGCTGGATTAGAGGTGGAATATGGTCAGAACTACTTGAGGATATTGGGGTTTGAACTGGGCCAGGTCGGGGTCAGAGCAGAGGTGCTTAATGTTTTTTGATTCACAAACTTTTCTGAGAACCGATGAAAACCATGGATTCTTTCTCTCCAAAATTTGTACAAATGTACAATTTTTTAAAAATCTCTTTCCAGAGGTAAGGACCTTCTGAAAGTCTCCCCAACCTGAGGCTGGTTCAGGGTGTGGGTTAGAGTTGGTGCAGAGGCACAGCACTGGTACAATTAGGTTTGAGGTTAGAGAAAAGGTAGGTTGAGTTGAGTTAAGGTGCAGCCTGGATTAAGAGTAGGGTTTTCTTAATATTGGATGCTTTTAGTTAAGATTTGTCATTGTTCTAGAAATAAGATTTGGCCAACATTAGGGTTTGGTTTACAGTTGAATTAGAGAGTAAGTTCATATAAAACCTAGATTAGAGAGGGACTAGGGTATATTTTGGATTAGATATATCGTTTGTTCAGTCAGCTTCAGGATTATGGGGTGGTTGCTGTGGGCAAGGTTTGCTGCTTTGGAGTCAGATTCTGATCAGGTAGGACTCTGTGGACACCCTGGCCCAGTTTGGTTACAATCAGCCTCTAACTCTACTCCAGGCCACCAGGCCACGGGACTATGAGGCTGGCGCGAGATGGATGCATAGACCCTTTTGTCCACCCGTCACCAGGCCTTGGGGCTAGTAATGACACTGTCACTCAGCCATGGTGTCCAGGCACGGAGAATGTCCCAGTGAGCCTCCAGCCCCTAACCCATTTGAACAGCAGTGGCTTCCCACCTGGCCTGCTCCCCCCATTTAAGGGCTCCAGCTTTAGGAGTTCTTGATGGGATTACTCATCCTAGGTCTCCTCCCATCCTCTTGGGAGGCTCAAGAAGGGACTGAGGGGATTAGCAGAGCCATGCCTGTCAGGAGAATTGAGGTGTCCTGGCTGGAGTATCCAGGGCCCCAGAAATCTCAGTGTCCTGGGGTAGAGGCATGGAGGCCATCTGCATATGAAAAGCTTCAGTGTCTCTGGGGTGGAGGCTAATGGGCTTATTCCCCTCAGTGAGGGGTGATCCTTCAGCTGACAGCCCCTTCTGTCTTGATTCCCTCTCCGCCGGGCCCCATTCCTCCAAGTAAGGGTGTGAGTACTGGCTCAGAACTGCCTCCCTCTTTGCTTTCTTTCTTTTCCTTTACTCTAGGTGCAGTTGTATTACTAGGCTCCATTTCTCCCCAGGTCTGGGCCCGGGGCACCCTGCTAGCCACCTGCTAAAGCCTCAAGCCGCAACTCACACTCTGCTTTAAGCTCCAAATCCATACCTGGGCCTGCGGAGGCCTGGCGGAGGGCTTCCGGGTGCCTGGCCCTTTGTCCTAAGCAGACAGACCCAGGCATATGGATTGGGGCAGAGGCCAAAAGAAGGTGTTTCTCTCCGCTTTTAAAGAGCTCTAGGAGGAAAGATCAGGGTCTTCCCTCAGAATCCAAGGAAACACCTCTTCGATCCCCCTTCAGGCCGCCTCTGGTGGTATGAGCATGGTTTCTTCTCTTCTGTCCTAGTGAAGCTAGAGAACTGCCATTCCCCAGGGTAGATCTCTGACATCTCCTCCTTGGGTCTTTCCCTCAGGCTTGTATGATGCATCCAGGGATTGGCTCAGGGCATAAGCTGGAAGTGTGGGCTCCTGGGTCAGGGAAGGCTCTTGTGCTGCCGAGGGGGAGGAACTCCTTGCAGGTCTTGAGGCCCACAGGTCCTCCCCACTGCCTCTCTGTTCTTTCTCAGGTCCGGGAATCAGCCCAGGCCTTCAGCCCCGGGCTGCTGTGTGTGGCATGTGGTTCTTACCGACGCGGGAAGGCAACCTGCGGTGATGTGGACGTGCTGCTCACTCACCCGGATGGCCGGTCTCACCAGGGCGTCTTCAATCGCCTCCTTGACAGCCTTCGGCAGCAAGGTAGAAACTCCATCTCTGGGCGAGCAGCTTGGCCCCGGGCAGGGCAAGGCTGGGCGACCCCCCAGGAGGGAGAGCCTCAGAGTTGCACACTCTGGGCAGGAAGCAGGGGAAGGTGGCTTCGTGAGAATGCCATCTCTTCTTGTGGCCAGAGCCAGTTCAGGGCAGAGATGAAACAGTCCACCACCCCTCTGCTCAGTAATGGGTGCTCAGTACTGCCTGCAGGTCAACTGTTTGATCTCACCTTTCTGTGACACCGCAGGGGACATGGGGAGGAATGATCATGCATGTTTTAAGGAGGCAGGCCCAGAGGGGGCAAGGTCGCCCAGCAGAGAAATCCGTGAGCTGGGAATGGAGGTGCCAGGGGTGAACGGGAGAGACCCGGGAGGACGGGGCAGCCCGAGCCTGGCTCCCTGCCCTCCCAGCAGCCTTCCCGTGTTGCGCCAGGGTTCCTGACGGATGACCTGGTGAGCCAGGAGGAGAACGGCCAGCAGCAGAAGTACCTGGGCGTGTGCCAGCTCCCCGGGCCGGGGCGGCGGCACCGACGGCTGGACATCATCGTCGTGCCCTACAGCGAGTTTGCCTGCGCCCTGCTCTACTTCACTGGCTCTGCCCACTTCAACCGCTCCATGCGGGCTCTGGCCAAAACCAAGGGCATGAGCTTGTCAGAGCATGCCCTCAGCACCGCTGTGGTCCGGGACAGCCGAGGCCTCAAGGCGGGGCCTGGCCGAGTGCTACCCACCCCCACGGAGAAGGATGTCTTCAGGCTCTTAGGCCTACCCTACCGAGAGCCAGCTGAGCGGGACTGGTGACCCGTGGCTGCCCCACCTGGCTGTCTGGTGCTTGGCTCCAGCCTTGGCGGGCTGAACCTCACTACTTCAACAGCCTGGGCCGGAGGGAAAAGGCCAGCCCGGCTCCCAGGCTCTGTCCGGCCCTCTCCTGCTAGCCTTCTGCCTCACTGCTGCCGCTGGTAGAGTTCTGGACACTGCTCCCTGTGCCTCATTTTAAGCAAGAACAGCTGCTTGTGTAAAGCCAGTTTCCAGTGCTGAAGCCTCCGCCCCCACTCCCCCCCTGCCCAATTCTCTGCCCAAGGAGGGTCTCGCTGCTGGGGGCAGGATGGGGGCTGCAGGGGAGAGGCAAGCAGCTGTAGCTGAGCGTCACCTCAGACCCTTTGGAGCAAGAGAATGAGACATTCCACATGTCCTCCCTCCACCCAGCCCGTTTCCTGTGCAGCTGGAAGTGTGGGGCCGGGGCCACCCAGGCTTGGGGAGGGTAGCATTTGAAGGCCCAGAGGCCCAGTAAAAGTGTACTTGACATTCAGCCTGCCTGGTGTCTGTGAACTGCTGCAGTCTCTGCCTGCCTTCTTTGACCCAGGTGGGGATGGAGATGGTTGCCAAATGGGAGCCCAGAAAGGCAAGTTAACTGCTCTCTGGAAGGGCTGACTTAAGTCCGCCCCTGAGCTCAGAAGGGGGCAGAGGTGGATGGGTAAAAGGGAGAGTTCTAGAGTCAGGCATCAGGAGTGCCTTTCTCCCCATTAGCATCTCTTGTGGGCCCTGCCCTAGAACAGGCTATCAGGACGTAAACAAAGGTGACAAGACTTAATAGGAACTGGTGGCTTGTGCTACCAGCAGTGCTGAGGCAGGCAGACGAGGTTGCCTGGAGGAGGGGAGGGGCGGGCTGGCAGGGGGAGATGGCCTGCCTGGTTGGGGAAAACTAAAGGCCTGCTTTAGAGAAGATGCTGCATGCCAAGCCTGGTGGGGGACTGGGAGTCAGGCTCAGGGGCTCCGTTTGATAGAACAGATAGGATCAAGTCCAGCTGGTGGGACTGGGATGGTGCTCAAAGGTTGGACCTTGCAGGATGGAGAGTTTGGTGAGGGCAGTTGTGGGGTGGGGTTGGAGGGAAGGTTTGGGCATACCGACCATGAAGAATAACGGGCACAGGGCAGGAGGAGGCGGCCATGTTGGGAGGAGCAGCAAGGGGCCTGGAAAGGCCTCCTGGCATGGGGGGCTTGGAAGCTGCAGAGATGGACTCAAGCCTGAGTGTGCTGGCTGGGAGGCAGGGCTGGGGGCAGGTGCTGAGTCCTGCGTCTCTATCAGTAACTCGCAGAGTCCCAGAGCTGGCCTTTGTTGGCCTGATTTCAGTCAGGGGATGCCGGCAACCTCAGAGTAGGGACCTCGACTCTAGTTCAGGACTCCGAAGTCCAAGCCCTGGGGCGCCACCTGCACGGGTCATGCTGGGGAAGGAATCTAAACCTCAGGGAGTCTGGGAGCCCCCTTCACAGCTTCATATCAACCAGAGACAGCCACACCAAAGGCCTAGAAGCCTCCATGAGGAGTGAGTCCCTCGGAGCATCTATTCCCAGGGAAGTGTGGCTCACTGGGGCCTGGAGTGAATAAACCAGGCAAACTCCTGGGTCCCTTAGGCTGCTTCTGGCCCCTGCTTGCAAGCACTGCCAATTCTACTTGGAACTAGGACCCCAGTGTCAGCTTTCCCAGCAAGGGTCAGAGCTGGCAGAAACCCAAAGCCTGGAGTGTCCAGGCCCGAATGTGGAAGTTGCTTCTCTCCTTTTGCTTCCCACTTAAATCCCCTGGAAGCCTGTCTGGGCCCACAGGAATAGGGCCTCTAGGGCTGCAAGAGGGAACCAATGGATCACGAGGTGACTTGCCCAGTTAACCCCTTCTCATACACAGGAAGTCTGCAGAACCACAGAGAAGGATAGTGCTGCTTTCTGTGTCTGAAAACAGGGACTTGGCCCCATTCCTGCCCCTCAACCTCCTCCCGAGATTCAGAATCCCAGAGATTACCTTCAAACCTAGTAAACTCCTTGTCCTACCTCCTGGCAAGGACAACAGGGAATCAGGAAAGAAAGGAGAGTGCCCACACCCTCCAGGGAGACCCATTCTGGAGGTGGTATCCTTCTGGCCGCTCAATCTGACACAGGAACCCGGGAGAAGAGCTGAGGGAAGGGTTTCTGACTTGAGAAAGGCTGCTCAGTTTGGAGGAGGGGCTGGTTCTCCGAGTCCAAGCTAAGCAAAGAGTGTGTTAGAAGGTTTCCCAGGTACCTCAGAGCCTGAACTTGGTTTCTGGGCAGGCTTGCAGCCCAGTACCCCATTCTGCTGGAAAGGGAGACTGAATTTGGGAGCCCCATTGGGAACTGGCATCTTGTCTAGCAACTGAGTACCCCAAAACTACCACCCAATCACCACCTGGTTCCGAGGAGGAGGAGACAGGCCCACAAGCCTGCTTCTTGCCCCTAGCCCAGCTGTTGTCACTCTGTCCTGGAGTCAGAGTTGTCCCTGGCCAGACCACATGTATGGTAGGCAGAATAATGGTCCCCCAAAGATGTCTACATCCTAAACCCTAGTGCCTGTGGATATGTTACCTTACTTGGCAAAAGATATTGCAGATGTGATTAAGGTTAAAGATTTTGAGAAGAGATGATCCTGTGGACCCAATCTAATTATGAGTCCTTCACAGAAAACCTACACAAAGAGATGTAACAACAGAAGGAAGGTTGGAGAGAAGTGACGTGTCTGACTTCGAAGATAGAGAAAAAGCGCCACCAGCCAAGGGATGTGGGCAGCCTCTAGAAACTGGAAGAGGCGAGGAGACAGAGTCTGCTCTACTCTAGAGCCTCCATAGTGGAACACAGCCCTGGCCACACCTCAATTTTATCCTGGTGAAACCTGCCTCAGACTCCTAAACAGGAGTGCCATGTGGCGATAGCTTTGTGTTGTTCAAAGCCACCGAGTGTGTGGTAATTTGTTACTGCAACAATATAGAGAGCCGGTAGACTGGATGTGTATTTTCACCTTTCTAGTGAGTGGAGGGACCTGCTGTGAGGCAGAGGAGCCTCCCCCCGCCAGTGCAAGTGCAGCTGGGGGGTAGGGGATGGTGGGAGTCTCACATGCCTGGAGTGGGGGAGGGCCAGCTGGCAGGCAAGGCCCCGGGCCCCAGCCCTTTCCAGTTGGCTGCCACCAGCTCAGAGTGAGCCTTCCTTAATTTCCATTTCCCTCTGACATTTTTGTGCCCAAGATACAAATCCCTCTAGGCTGCTCTGCCCCAACCCCACCATGCTGGGAAGCTCCATCTTTTCCCAGGGCCTGGGTGGGATGACATTGGCCTTGGCCCCAGACTTGAACTGAAAGTGGAACAAGATAAGGCCAAATTTTCCTCCTGGGTTCTGGATGCTCATGGGGGAGCAGGTGTGGGCACAGGGCCAAGAGCCTCGCGGCCTGGAGTAGACATGGCAAGGTGGGCAAGGCCACCTATGTCCTACCCTCCAGGTTTCAAAGGCTGGGAATGGAAAACCCAGGCCCTTTGTTTTGCTTCTCCAGGAAAGTTATGGGATTCTTTTCCCTTTAAATGGGATGGGCTGCCTTTTGCCAGGCCTAGAGACTAGAATATGGAGAAGACATTGGCCTCACTGCCTTTCTTCACTCCAACAGGAGAGCCCTTTCCAGCTGCTCCCACCATCTGAGAGACCAGCCTCATGTGGGAGCTATAGCTGTGGGGGCACCTGCTGCTACCCAGACTCTGCCGACACCCAGGAGCTACCCTAAGCCTTGGGCTTAGCCCCAAGACCTTTAGCCCCATGACCACTCTGCCCTTAAGTCCAGGCACCAGCCAGCTAGTTTTCCAGAACCCATGAGCCATTGGGCAGCCCTGCTTCTGAGCCCTGGAACAGGGGGATCCTCAGGGCCGAAGACCCAAAGCTGACCTAAGTCCCTGGGCCGAGCCTCATTCCCACTGTCTGAACGGGGCCTCTGCAAGCCCCAAAAACACTGGGGGTCAATGCCAAAGCTCGGCCCCAGGCTGCTCAACTGCATGTTCATCTGCCTGCGTGTCTAATGTGCATTCCGGCCCCATGTTTGTGTACTACAAGTTCATGAAATTTTGTATCTGTGTGTGGGCAGCCCCCACGTGTGTGTCTGTGTGCACAGTGATGTAGACCTCCCTCTGCGGGCACGCAACTGTGTTGTCAAGGGCTCAGGCAGGGCCTGGGGGCTGGAAGGGTGGTCCGCGGAGTCCTCTGTAGCGCCAGGCAGGGACTGCAGAAGGTGATGGGGCCCTGGCTGGCTCCGGACTCCGGGTCCTCGTGTCCGTGGAGGCGGCCGCAGGGCGGGCCGCCTGCGTCAGCCTTGAGCGGCCATCAATAGCGCGCGGTTAATTAATTTGATGGGAACAGCAGGGACCGCCGTTTGCATTTAGTGAAGTTCCAGGAACTTCCAACCTCATCTTCATAATTGGCCTCATAAATTGTAAGAAAGAGAGAGATCAGCAAAGCGGGAGGGAGGAGGGGCTGCCCGTCCGTCCTTATTTAATTTTATTGCTGAAATTCATCTTTTTAGCCTCCTCCGGAATCGGCTCTCCCTGCCGGATTTGCCTAATCATGATAAATTAATATTCATTTCCCCGCCTCTCACCCAGCTCCCGCGCTTGGATGGAGTTGAGGAGGGTCTCCTTCCAGTCCCTTGGCCAGGCCTTGGTGGAAGCCTGAGGGGGTGGGGACCCCCAAAGGGGAGCTTGTAGAAAAGAAAGCGGAGCCTGGGGGTGGGGGTGCTGGAGGGGAGCCTGGGAGAAGAGGTGGCTCTGTTACCCTGGGGAGGTGGGAGGGGGCGATTCAGGGTGATTGACTGGAACTCTCAGATGAGGGGCTCCTGAGGCCCCCTGCTGGTTCCTGGGCAGGAACTACTCAGTGGGGCCAGGGTGTGAAGATCTAGCTAGGGCTAGGTGGGAGGGGCAGGAAGACTCTGACAGGCCCTTTTGGAGACCCAGAGGCCCAGAAGAGGGAAGACAGGATGGATCGATCTGGGAGATGGATTTTGAAGGCTAGCTCCAGTAGAGAGGTGGGGGGGAGGAGGAGGCTCCGCTACCTGTCTGACCTGGTCTTGGCCCCACACCCCTGCTGACCAGGTGCAGGCTACCTTGCCCTGGGCAGATTCCATTGGGGACCTGGCCTCTGGTCAGCAGAAGGGGCATCTCCACTTCCCTACAGCCTAGGCCGGCTGGGCGGCTGGCCCTCTGAAACTGGGTACCTTGGCTGGGCTGTGTGATTACCCCAACTACTATTCTTCCCTGGTGAGGCCCGTTCCCGCCTGCAGCAGGGTTGCTGGGAGAGGAATGCAGCCCTGCTCTTCTCAGTGGGGCCCTGGGAGGGATTTAGATTGTATTCAGCTCCTTGCCCTATTGTACAGATGAGGAAACTGAGAATCAGAGATGGGAGGGGACTAGCCCAGGGTCTCACAGAAGTCCGTGGGGCTGGGACCAGGAGTGAGGGAGGTTTTCACTCCCTTCTGGAGGCTGGGTGTGGTAGGCAGGATT